TTTTTTAAGATTTTATTTATTTATTTGACAGAGAGAGAGACAGCGAGAGAGGGAACACAAGCAGAGGGAGTGGGAGAGGGAGAAGCAGGCTTCCCGCTGAGCAGGGAGCCCGATGCGGGGCTCGATCCCAGGACCCTGGGATCATGACCTGAGCCGAAGGCAGACGCTTAACGACTGAGCCACCCAGGCGCCCCTCCATCTTAATTTTTTAAAACATTTTTATCACAGGTCTGTCATATATAATAGGACTGAGTCCTAGCTGTACTTAGAATCATCTGGAGAGCTTTAAGAAGAAAAAGAACCTGGCCCTTATCCCAGACCAGTTAAGTTAGAATCTTACTATGTAACCTCACTGGACCTCAGTGGTCTCATGTATAAAATGAAATAAGAATACCTACTAAATCAAATATTAAAAGAACAAATACATCTAAATCACTTAGTGCAGAGCCCCCATGTGGCGAGTATCCAGTAAATAATCATTACTCACATTTATGGAATGAATAGTCCATTGCATGTATATCTAAGTAAGAATCACAGTTTCCCGAGCTTTATATAGACAGCAGCATCATTTAATTTAGCCTTTCTCATTAACTTTTATTTATATCATTATTTTGTAATTTCAATTTTCCTAGTTTATTTGACCTTAAATTAAGCAAAACAGTATCTTTGGGTCAGTGCCCCTGGAGTCCGAGCTGTCCAGCGGGGGCTGATGCACAAGCCTTTGTATTGCTCATTGGGCCCGTTCTTTGCAAGCTTTCTCTTTGACTCCTAGAGATTTTTGCGAGCCTGATCACCATTTGCAGATTTTCAAGATGGCATAAACTGTAAGGAAAAAGAAGCTGTTGGTAGAGATGGTAGTTTATGTGTATGTTTCCATCCTCCCATATGCAGGAGGAAAACCAGTCAGGACAGCTCAAGGGAGGAAGGGCTCGTGTGTCAGTCTCAGGTCTAGACTCAGTCGTCTGTCTCCCAGTATGCTCGCTTTCTCGCAAACAAGCACAACTCCCAGCCACCCCTCCTCTCCTGTGTCTGCCTTTCTGCGTCTCTTTTCCTTCTCTGCCCTAACCCACTCCCAGTACTGCATCTTAAGGGAAAAGAAAAACAGAAAACTTGTATTTAGCAGAGAATTGTGTTCTGGTCATCTGCTTTTAAGAAGACTAAGGGAAGAAAAACCATATATTTTTTTTCTTAAATATACACGTGTATATATTTCTTAAATATATTAAATGACTTTCAGGAACTTGGGCTATTACTCATGATTGTCTGGAGGAATGGTGCCAGGGGATCAGTTTAACTAGTACATTTGATTTACATAGAGTCAAAACCAAGTTTTTGAAAATGTGCTAGTTAAGTTAATCCCATGGCACCTTTTCTCTAATCAGGACTAATATGTGAAGTCCCTGGAAGTCATTTAATTAGCAGACATTTTAAGAGAGAAGACCTCTCCAAAGAAAGACCAACACATAACTCAAAAACTGTTAAGAATAAATAGTTTCAAATATTAGGCATGGAACATTCTATTATGTGACAGAAGCCATAACTTTTCCCCCTTTTCTCCCTTCTGATATAAAAATGGAAAAACAGCATCCCCAAACCTGGTACTTTCTGTGAGGAGGGGGGAGAATGGTGGAAGTAACAGTTCTCGTATCTCTTATTTCGCAGATATCCCTAAGAACTTAAGCGCTAATAAATTCAGGACTGGAAAGGAATACTGGGGGAAAAAAATTCAAATGGTTAAAAAACCCACTTGTTCCCTCTATTCATGATTAAAATAGACAGTACCTTGCAACAGCCTTATATTAAGGCCTAGCCTTTTTAGACTTAAAGATCATCTTCTTAGATAGACAAATTGAGGAAGTGGCTTATCTGTAGACAGATACCTAGCTGTAGAAAAACTAGGACCATATTCTGGGTTTAATTTTTGGTTATGCCCCTGACTGCTTTCTATTCTGCCAGGGTAGCATAAAGACATGATAAAGCTGGGAAATTCTTTGGAGAACACATAAGTCTTGGGAAAAAGTAATTTAGAGCCTTCTTTAGATTCAATCCAGCATTAAAGAAAAACCATTGGCCTCAATATTTAGAAGTGAGTTTGTCCTGTTTTTCCCTTTTTCAAGTAATAACCACAAGCTCATAATAGTTGAAAGGTACAATAACAATACTCGAGTGTAAGAACACTGTACATCGTGAACTTCATTCTTACCAGGAGTACAAAACTTAAAGAACTCATGCAATTACTGTGAAAACTCCCTGGTTATTTAATTTTTAGGGGGTTTGTTTTGTTTAGTTTATGAGTTAAAAGTACACACTAAGATGTGTCCTAGCACATACCAGGATCAACACTGCGTTGCGGATATATGCTAGACAGATGTCTCCTTTTTTAAAATGTGTACAAACAGGCCACCAACAATTTTCCCATCTTGTTTTAATGTCTTACAAAAGGGTAGATGCTTGTTTGTTAAGTCTCAGATTAGTAAAGTACCAAGAGGTGGTCTTTCAAGGCAGTGTCCTTGCAAGGCCACTAGGCGCCAAACAGAAAAGAAGGACCTGTTCTGTCATCCGCGCGTCATTTCCTAATCAGGAAGCACCAGCTTATGAGAATATATGATAAAAGGCTAAATGGAAACTTGAACTCATTTTCATTTCCTTTGAAGCCTTGCTTGTGTGTTTGACAATGGGCCCGTCACACATTTTGCTTTTTCATGCCCCTTCTGTTTGTCCCCTGGTACTGTTCTGAGAATTAAAGGTTGAGCAGCTTGAGGGTGAGTATATAGTTTCCTAGGGCTGCTGTCACCAATTACCACAAATTCGGTGGTGTGAAACAAAAATTTATTTTTCACGGTTTTGGAGGCAGGAGGTCCTACAATCAATGGGTCAGAAGGGCTGCTTTCCCTCAGGAGGCTCACAGGGAGAATCGCGTCCCTGCTCCTGTCCCAGCCTCTGCTACTTGCCGGCACTCCTTGGCTGGCCCAGGGCTGTAGACCCGTCACCCCAAGCTCCGCCTCCCCGCATATCTCCCCCTGTCTCTTCTCTTCTCCTAAGGACACACAACTCCTTTGGATTTAGGGGCCACCCTACTGTTGTATAATCTCATCTTAACTAATTACGTTTGAGGAGAACACAGTGAGAAAGCCAAGACATCCTGAAGGTTGGTATTTGCCACCGTCTGCATTGTTCCTCTCTCTGGAGAGCAGCCCCATGATAGAATGCTTTAGGATGTGCAGGTTAATCCTCACTAACATAAAAAGAACTGTCAATGATTTTATTTTAAAATAATACCTACTCTATTTTAGAATCTACTTGGTTAAAGCATCGTTTTATTTTACAGTGTGGCCCAGTGAAGGGAACACAGGACCTTGAGATCTTGTCCTTGCAGAGGCGCCTTTTTTTTTTTTTTTAAGATTTTTTATTCATTTAAGAGAGAGCAAGAGCACGAGCAGGGGGGAGGGGCAGAGGAGGAGGGAGGAGCAGACTCCCTGCTGAGCAAGGAGTCTGATGACATGGGGCTCGATGACACAGGGCTCAGCTCGATCCCAGGACCCCAGGATCACGACCTGAGCCAAAGGCAGATGCTTAACCAGCGGAGATGCCCAGGCACTGCCCCTGCAGGGTTTTTTTCAGAGATGATGAGGGGAACAGAACAGGGCAGTTTTAGTTGAAATCAGCCTGAGTTCACTTCACTGCTCACTGCCTATGTACTGGGAGGGCCTGGAGAGCCAGTCCGGGTCCTGGTGACCCCCACATCTCCCTCTTAGTCTCATCCCTCACGCATCATTTCAAGAGCAATTAACAGAGGAAACCGGATGCCACAGAGTTGGGGGGGTGGGGAACTCCTATGAGCTGGCAGAGATTCAGCCCCAAAATTGTAGAGAATGCTTTTGAAGTGTTAATGTAAACATTTGAAAATACTCTCCTTCTAGAATAGGTCTTATTTTCTATTCCAAAGCTAAAAGGCTCATTAGTTCTCATAATTTTTAAAATCTTAAAGAACTATAGATTTCTTCACTCTTAATTAAAACTTTGAGTAGATTGGCTAATTAGGAAAATACTGTGAAGAAGGAAAAATAAACCACAGTATGCCTTTCCCTAGTCCCTGCTCCCTCTCCTAGAAGAACACAATAAAATAAAGATGTTAAGACAGTGCGGTGCCCAAATCTGAGAGTGTGATCATGCATCTTCTAGACACTTCTACTTACTTTCTGGATAAATTCATCTTTTGAGTGTCAGGATGCTCATCTTTCCCTCACCTGTCAAAAGTGTGAGCTCTGGTGTATGTAGCAAACAGAGAATGTCAGGCTGCTTGGGATCAAAACTGTACTATTTCTCTTAGGCTCCCGAGGTTGGCCAGAGAAGGAACATCATCACTCACTCAAGACTCCATTGCCAGGACTGATTATGTTACGTGTATTTGGCTTGATGACACTGCCAATCCTCAGTGAGAAATGAGAAAAAGGAATAGATTTCTTCCATGTAGGCATTCATGGCCAGAATGTGGGCATTTGTGGCAGATTTTAGGTAGGGTCATAAGCTATTTTGCATTTTTCAGTTACAGACTTGCTTTGGGAATATTAAATTCAGAATGACATCATGGCAGCCAAGCAGACAACCTTATTTTTAGTTAAAGCTTGGGGGAAAAATTAAACCTAATAGTAAATGAATTTATAGAGTTTTCATACAGAAACCCCAATACATAAGGGTTCTCTTCATTTCAGTTGGTGGTATTGGCCTGTGGAACTGACCTGAACCCGGGTTAGATGTTTTTCCCCTGTAAGAAAGGAATGGTCTGTGTACCTCTAATAAGAGGGTCGAGGGAACACAGACCTAGACCATACCTTCCTCGTGAACAACTTGAATCAAACTGTGACCATGCTTGAAAAAAGGAAACACCTGTTTGACGCCAGTTGTGATCTTGCCCATCCTACCCACTATGAAGCCACTCCTGGGTTGGGACTAATGAGGCCTTGCCATTTCCAACTGTGTGTGTTCTCTCTCCATGACAGCCCGAGGAAGAGCCGCTGGTCTGTGATATCACCGGATCCAGTTCGTCCACCGATGACACCGCTTCCTTGGACCGACATTCTTCTCACGGCAGTGATGTTTCCCTCCCCCAGATTTCAAATTTGAACAGGTCCAGAGATCAGCAGTGTCTTGACGGCTTCTACAGCCATGGTGTGGGAGCTGAGGGCCGAGAAAGCGAGGGTGAAGCTGCCGGCTCAGGTGAGATGGAGGAGGAGGAGATGGACAGCATCACCGAGGTGCCCGCGAACTGCTCCGTGCTGAGGAGCTCCATGCGCTCCCTGTCCCCTTTCCGGAGGCACAGTTGGGGTCCTGGGAAGAACGCGGCCAGTGATGCCGAAATGAACCAGCGCAGGTGAGGTGGACCCGGTGGGGCCGTTGGTTTCGTTTCTCAGTGTCTGCTTGCTTTTGATTCTGTGATTTGGTGTTATCGTGGTAAAAGAATTTAGGAGACACCGCGGTACAGAGGAAAGCAGATGGGCTTTGGAATCAGTAAAACCTGTGTTCAAACCCCAGCTCTGTAACTCAGTATGTAGATAAGCTTGGGCAAGTTACTTGACCCCTCTGGGCTTTAATTTTCTCATCTGTAAAATACTACCTGCCTTTCAGAATATTTGTGATAATAAATATTGCAAGTGAAATAGGTCTGCTACATGGTGGGGGTTTAATAAGTGCCAACAGTAGTTCAGGCCATATCTGTTAATAAAATTCATAGATTAAAAACTTGTGGAGGGAATAGAGTCCTGTCAACTTTGAATTAAAAACTAAACATGAAATCTTGTCTCAACACCATCTGTTTTCAAAGTGCTTCCCAGAAATTGTGGTCCGTTTCTAATGCGGAAAGTTCGGACAGAGTCTGAATGATCATTTAATCAGTAAGAGAGCCTAAGAATCATTCAGTATCATTGGATGGTTGGTATTTCTCCACGTATCCTCTGGTCTTTGGGGACGTGGGTACATGTGACCCATGTCACACCTTCCGTTCGGGAGCAGGCTATGAAAAGGTAGTTTGGACTTGGCCTCTGGCCACAGGCTGCTTCCAGGAATTTAAGCAGACGGTTTTAGCTCTAACGACCAAGTGCCGTGGGGCCTGCTGTATGTACAGAGTTGTGCTTACGCCCCAGCTACTTTCTGGATGAGGAAAAGCGGCTGAGGGAGCAGGCTGACCGTTGTGTGAATACAGGTGATGTGACAAACTCACCTGGAGCGGTTACAGCTTTTTTCTTTTTAATTCCCTGACCTCCTTATAACACGGCTCAGATTTCAGAGCTATAGACAGGTATGTGGAATCTGATGGCACTCACTTGTTTATTGTTTTATCTAGCCAACATATGTTGAGCACCCACCACATGCCAGGCATTTCTAGGTTCTAGAGACACAGGTGAACAAGCCAAAGTCCCCGCCTTCGTGGAGCTCACAGCGATACCTTACACTTGGCTCACGTGCTGCTCTTCTCAGACTTGTTTCATAACAAAGTATCCCACGTGATTTTCCAGTCCTCTCCCTCAGTCAGGTGCCACTTAACCCAAACCAGGTCAGTAGTAACCAGGTTTCTGATCTAGTAAGTGCTCTTTCTGTGATTCCATATTATTTTCTGGTAGAGTTCAGGACATTACCCTTAAAAATAAGTAGTTGCTTTATCTGCTGGGTAGTTTTTATATACATTTGAAAGCATGGATTATATAAAAAGCAGTTTCTAAAAGCTTTCCTTCCCAGCTTTATTCACGCTGTACTTCTTTTTAAAAAGCATTCACACCAGTTAAAAAATAAATAAGGATGTGGGGAATCATCCCTAGAGCTGGAATTCTCTTCCTGAAGCAAGAATAGCCTCTTGACAGGACATACTGTCAGAGATGCTAACGGCATCGAGAAACAAGGGTTTATTTTAAAAGGCAATCCATTTTTTCTTATAACCCGCTATGGATTTCAGAGCTGGCTGCGACTGTGGATCCTGTAGCTCAGATGAGGAAATTAAAGCTCAGACTGAATGATTTGCCCCAGATTACATGGTGCTCTTAAGACTGAACTAAGACTAGAACCCTATCACTTAATTATTCATATTTGCAACCTGTATAATATCACGGCAGCTCCTCTGTGAGCCTAGCATTGACAGTCCCCTCACACCACTGCCCAGTGCCTCTGGAGTGATGGAAGGGCTTGAATTAGTTTGACTGATGCTGACAGTGTTATCTGCATATAGTATAACCTGAATTTTAAAGTCTTAAGAAAACCCTTCTAAAGCTTTGAATGGCCTTTTTTTAATCCTTTTACTTTTATAATTTAATAAACCTCATTCCTTGTCATCTGATTAACTCTGTGGAGCAAGGAGGGAGCAGAGTAACCCTCCCCAGAAATTGTCAGGCTGTCAGGCCTTTGTGGTTTTGATGTGTTTCTTACTCCACATTCTCTCATTCCCTGCCTTCCTGTACTGTTTCTCTGAGTGGCTCGTGTCTCTCCCCTTCGTGATGTCTGTATGCTTCATGCGTTTGTGTCCATTTTGTTTCACCTCGACACTGACCTCTTCCACCATTCATTTTCAGTTCATTGCGAGTTCTTGGGGATGTTGTCAGGAGACCTCCCATTCATAGGAGAAGGTACAGAGTTCACTAACTTGATGGACTAACTGTGTTGCCTCTGAGCTTCTACTAACAAGCATTTCATTTTGCTTGATCCATGATTAAACCGTCTTTTACAATAATGTCACGTCTGCTTCAGGCAAATAAAATATAAGTATTTATTAATTGCTGATGTCCATTTGCATATGAAATGGTTTTGTGAGTCTGAAATTTTTTCCTATTCTCTTTTTATCTTGAAAGGAAACTTTTTTAGTGTTTTTTCCATCTTGTACTTACTGATGTTCAGATCACTTTGATAATAGGGTCTCCCCGACTCTCCCTAGGAGAATTCAAAGACACGTCGATTGTGCCTATCTAATGGACCCTGGGGAGTGCATTTTCTTCCCCCACCCCACCCCCCAAGAAGGGGAAAGAACCAGAAATAATTCTGTGCTGGCACACAGGCCCTAACACATTCTAGGCCCCCTGACCATCTCCACTCCAATGTTGATGTAGTCATTTCCGAAAACAAGTAAGAGGCATCCGCTCATCTCCCAGTCTTCCAACTCCTTAATTATTTTTTGTCAGGTAACATTTTGAAGCTAACAATTAGTAATTTAGAAGCTGAAAAGTCATTTCCAGTCAAAAAAAATGCCGATTCGCTTTTCAGATGCTGAGTTTTACTTTGTTCAGAAGTCGTCACTAGTGACCTTTCCTTCCATTATTTGGGGGAAACAATTCGGAAATCCAAAAACGATGGTGGAATTATACATAGTTTCTCATATTGGGAGACATTTGTAAAGAGGTATTTTCAGTTCTGAGCTGAAGCTCTTCTTGGGAAGCTGGCAGGTAGTGGTCCTCCCTTCTTTGTCTTTTTCCAGATTTCAGGCACAAAATTGAGTTCAAATACTAATACCCTCGTGAATCTCGGGTGATGAGACTCAGTTGAGTTGTTCTCCCAGGGGAACAAGTTGTTAAATGCCGTTTTCAGAAGAAGTGTCTGAACCCTTTAGAGATCTAGTTAGCTCTCTGTAAAGCATCCACGTGTTGACAGTGGAAGGGGCAGGTGGCTGGATGCAGACCCAGGAAGCATATAGATAAAGCTTCACAACAGGGCCACACATCATTTCACCCTTAGTCACTTTTCTGCAGGAAGAACGTGAAGTATCACTTAAAATTCTCTATGAAGCCTTAGCTAGTAAAACTGAAACATTCCCACAAGTGTTAAACGGTAGAGAGTGGGATATTTGGGGTTTTTTTTAAGAATCTAAAATTTTCTAAATCTCAAAATAAGGCCAAAGAACCATTAAATGTCACTCCCACTAATTGAGGAAATTGAGGACGCTCTCAAAAACACTCTCATGTGCTCTCTCTCTCTCTGACAAAAATCTTTAAAAAAAAAAAAAGAACACTCTCGTGATAGGAGTTCTCTGCTAGAAGGAAGGGCAGGTCTGCTGCCGCTGAAGGACCACCTGCAGCTTCCTTCCTGGAGCCTAAGGACCCCCTGTTACGTCCTCCTTCTGTCTCCCTATCGCTCTCCATTCTCTCCATCCTAAATTTCACCCTGCTCTCACATCATTATCATTTTCTGAGAGTAAAGGGATGTTTAAATCTGTAGAGGGAGAGAATTTTTTTGGATGATAACTTGGTAGTGTATATTCGGTTGCTGATTTACCATGTTGGATATTTAAAAAATTTTTATTAACAGTTTGGAGATTCAAAATGAAATTAATAATTTCAGAGAATGGACTTCTTAGTCTCGTGTGTGTTTGTAAATTATATCAAGGCTTGCTTGCTTCCCTCACACGAGCAAATTATAAGTCAGTCTGATTTCGTTTATCAGGCTGGAGATGTGTCTCAGATGCTAAATTTTCCTTTCCGCTTCTGCCCTTTTGAGCTTTGTACTATTAATTTAACCTGATCTTAAGTGTTTTACTATTTAAATTATTTTTAAATGCCATGATTTTAAAGATTTACTTTTAGAAGGCTCAAAGTTCTTCTGTTTATTCTCCCACCACCTTCCTTATATCTTTTCCTCTGCCAGAAACCCCCACTTACTAAAACAAAATTAAGTGTATTCAAGGTATTCAAGGGGTTTTTGGTGTCTGTACATCTTCCCATTTGCAAGATTCCAGAGAGAGCTGAGGGGGTGTTACTGTTATTCCCCCTTCTGAAAACAAAAACACATCACTTAGAATTTTAAGGCCCCAAATAGTAGCAGTGTATTTTTAAACTGATTTTTTGTCAGTCAGAAATCCTGACCTATTGGTGCAGTTCCCTTTACAGTGTACCTGATATTTTGAATTGGTTATTTTTTTAGCTGGTTATATTTACATGGTATTTCCAACCCTAGATTTTCTGTCCCTCCTGCTTTAGAGTAAATATCAGTGCCGAGATAAAGTAGATGATCAAATGGAGTTTTGCTTTTTTTTTTTTAATCTCGGGAAAATGGATGCAAACCTAAAATTAAGACACATTTCTAACTCAGTACCACAGAATTCCTTTTCTTTTGAAGAAAAATACATGCCTTCGTTATCATTAAAATACAAGGAAATGTGACCAGTGTGACATGGCGAATCTTCATCACAAGAGCTTAGTGAGCAGGGTTTAAAGATGGGTGTGAGTGTTGATAGGATATCCTTATTAGGAAAGACTCATGAGTAGATGGACCCTTACTGGAAACATGTGAAGAAAATTGATGACCCACTGAGCCTACCCCAGTGCAGTTTGACATTGTCCCTTTTAGTCAAGGGGGAGTTTAGTGTAGTTAAGGATTATCACTGTGGCCACGGAGGTCTGAGAGTGGCGTGGCAGAGCGTACGGAGAGATTATCCCCAGTAGTGGGGATACGTCGGGAGAACACCTGAGGAGGGAGCCGTGGATGGAGTGGGCTCTTTGTTCAGAGTTGTTACCCTGGAACGAATTGACGTAGACATTTCCAGCACATTGTCTAGATGGATGTTAGTAGAGCAGTTTTAAGTTTCTGTGGTTTTTGTTCTAGCCTTTTTCTAAATTCTAAGTGTTACGTTCCTTATTTTTTGATGATCAAATAAATCCATCTGTCTGTAACTATGGCTTTTCTTTTCAAACCCAATAACCCCGTCCCTGTTTCCTCTTTTCTCCCTCCATTTCTGTTTCTGCCTTTGATGTCATCCCCAGTATGAGCTGGTGTCCCTCTGGTGTACAATACTCTGCTGCCCTGAGTGCTGACTTTAATTACAGAAGGTATGGTATTGTTCCATGTCCAGCCACCAAAGGGGGAATTATAAAATATGGCACCTGGGCTTCTGGCTGGGAGCTTGCTTCTGTGTGGCTAGAATGCATATGGCAGCGCGCTTTGTCTGGAGCACGGTGTTGAGTTGCCTCTCCTATGGGCATCACTAATCCATTTGAAGGGGTACAGACTAGGAGGTGGAGGGTATACCCTGATGCGTCCTCTCTGTCTCAGGTGGCTGTAGATTCGGTGTTTTCTGCACAGACTTGTATCTCTGGTAGACCACCTCTCTCTCTGTTTTTGGTCTGTCCTAATTCCCAGAACCTGGGGATTCCCACATCCTGAGGAAAACAATGACAGAAGCAAGGCAGCTAATAAGATGCACTTATTTCTATTATGTTTCCAAATACCCCAATTTCTTTCGATTCCAAATTCACAGATTCCTCAATGTTTTATATTCTTCTCTCAATTAAGCAGCCAGATTTAATTACTAAAACATTTTCAAGATTAAGTTTTGTGGGTAATGATAGGCTGGTTTTCTCAGGCTTTGCAAACAGTTCACAATAGAAACCTAAATTTCTTCTTCACTTAGCCTGTCTCCTTATCCCTGGTATTGCAGATGAGTTTCACAGAGACATTTACTTATACTTAATCATGATTTCTATTGTCATATTGAAATAAGAAAAACAAAATCCATTGTTTAAATTACCCACTAGAGAAAAACAGAAGCATATGGTTTCAGTTCACAGTAGGTAATTTGTGAAATGCAAAAAGCAAATAACAGGCCCTCCGGACTGGCGTATGTGAGTTATTTGTAGAATTAACTGTTGTACAGCTTGAGCAGAGATAACTGCATAGCTTCAGTATACCTTCAAATGCATTTCCAGCTGCTTGTATTTGGGGAACATGGTCAGCTACAGCTCTGTTCTGCTCTCTTGCTTATTGGAAAGAAGTTCCCGCTGCAGCTGTAACAGGTGTGGATGATTCTGGCTAGCAGCCCCGAGGCGGGTAGATGGCTAACTGCTCTCTGTAGTCTCCTGCTCACAAAAAAACATGCTTTTTTCACTCTGCAGACCACAAAATCATTACTCCAGGGATCCCATGCCCTAAATTTGCCCCCTTTTTGGGTCAGTCTTAAAACTCTTAGACTTAGCAGCTTTTCAGCATTTGTTCTTTAAGGTGGCCCATGCGCCTGTCTGCGACTCACAGTTCTCAGGAAACCTGTCAGGCAGTTGTTGGACTGGCCAGACGTGCACAGATGCTGCTGCTCAGAAGTAATACTCAGGTCTCTGGGGTGGACACACACCTGTGAAATAGTAAAGGTCAGCTAGACTGTAGTTGAATGTAAAGTTGTATGGTCCACTTAATGGACACAAGGGCAAGTCTGGGTCTCCCTGTTTGTCTTCTGAAAGTGACTTACACACCTCTTTTCTCTGTGCCGTTAATTCTTTGGCATTGGCTGAGTTAGACTTTGGCAAAGATCAATTACATCAGATCAAGGAAAAACAAAAGATCGGTAAGATAATACAGATGGTATATTGAAAAAAAAATCTTGAGAAAATGACCTTAGATGGTCCATTTGAATAAGTTGAATGAAGTAAGAAAATCTCAGTGCAGTATTCTTTCTCAGCATACCAACGCCTGTGGGGGGAAAGGTAGGCGGCACCCCTTGTGCCGTGCTCTTGGCGATAGCTTTGCTAGGTGACATATAATATACCAGCAGGGAGATACACACGAAGCAATTTCCTATCCTCCTTTCCTTCCTGAGCCTCAGAAATGGAATGAATTAACTCCTTTGCTCTGTGTTCAGTTTCAGCCTAGAAGGCTTGGCAGGAGGAGCTGGTGCCGGAAACGAGCCATCTTCGTCTCTAGGTGTAGACTCTGTAAACACCAAAGAGCTCAGGCACCCTTTCAGTGGGGAAGAAAGGGGTGACTCTTTGGTGTCGCTTTCAGAGGAGGATCTGGAATCAGGCCAGAGAGAACACAGGATGCTTGATCAGCAGGTAAGGCTGAAGAGGGTATATACTGCTAACTTGGAAAAATTCACTTTACTTCTCTACAGTGTCCTCACATTAGGAACAAAGAAATCAAGACTTACATCCATATAAGGCTACTGGCCGTGATTGCTTACCCATTATATAATGCACTCAATCTAGCACAAAGCAAGTTTTTAGCACTTAATAGTAATTCAAGAATACCATTAATCTGCATTAATTTAAATATTCCATCAAATATTTGAAGCATATGGTCTCAGTTCACAATAAGTAATTTGTAACCTTTTTTAAATTAGAAAAATATCCAGGTTATTAAATTTTTCCTTCTTATCTGAGGACTTCTTTTATCATCTCAATAGTATAAAGTGAGTCTTGAAGTGTGTTACACAACATTGTTAAATTTAAATTTCCTAATTTTTCAAAAACATATCCCTTCCGGGGGGGGGGGGGAATCTTACTCTTTGTCTTCTCACATTGCCTAGAAAATTTCTTTCTCTCTGCTTCCTGCAGCTGTCAGAATTTTTCAGAGAGCATCTGCACTCCCTCCCCGCCTGATGCTCTGCCCTCTTCATGCCTGCCACAGGCACTGCCTCTTGGAGGGCCTGGCCTTCCTCATAGCCGGTCAGGTGACTTTCCCAGGGCTCACCCTCGCAGGCCCTTCATTCCGATGCTCACCACCTGGGATGGGTCCTCGGGGAGTTTGCCTTGAGAACTGGAATTGTATGCTTTTAGAGCATCGCACCCTGCTCCCGGTCTTTTATCCTCCTCTTGAGCCAACGGGACTTTGGATTGATTTCTAGGAGGATTCTGTGATACACATGCAAATGAAACATTTCTAATTAAACAGACACAAAATTAAACACCTGTCTTTGAGTAGGTGATTGGAGTTTTAGGTAGAGAGAGAATGAAACATTTCTAATTAAACCAACAAAAAAGTTAAACAGCCTGTTCTTTGAGTAGGTGACTAGGGTTTTATGTAGACATTTAATGTTTTGTTATACCCCACTACATAGCAGTGATATGCCCAAATAGAAATTGGACATTGGAGGATTACCTTAATAATGAATGTATTACTTACGTGAATGCCCAAGAGAATTTCAGCTGGATGAAAGTCAAATTGAAGGCCCAAAGGAATTTTGCCTGGTTATCCCCTCCCCCCACCCCCCGTGTCTCCTGGGCCTGATAGTTTAGAAAAAGTTAAGAAAAATAACAAGAAGATGGAGAATAGGGTGCCTGGCTGGCTCAGTCAGTGGAGCATGTGACTCTTAATCTCGGGGTTATAAGTTCAAGCCCCACATTGGGTGTAGAGATGATTTAAAAAATAAATAAACCTTTTAAAAAATAAATTTTTAAAAAAGAATATGGAGAATATATTTATTGAGGCAAATGATTTAAATTCAACCTAACGGTAACAGAAAAAGGGAGTGAAAAATAGAAACAATTCTTTATCATGACTTGCCAATAGCATCTTTGGTTAGTAGAGAGTCTGAAGAATAAACCACATTTCATGTGCGTACAATCCTTTGGAAGTCTATTGTAAGACCAGACAAAATACCAAAATTGTGGGTTTATGAACAGAATCCTAGACTTAGAGCCAATATATCCCTTCGGATTCTGCATAAGCCCTTGTGTGTGAGAACTTCACGCCCATTTGAAGTGACTTGCCTGAGGCCTCATAACTGGCCATTAGCTGGACAGCATTAATCTCAGAATTCTTGGCTGTTAGTCTCACTGCTTTTTTTCACATTTTTGAAGTAGGGGAGTTTTCATGAGGAAATGGGAACATTTTCATTTCCTTAATATTGTTTATGTAAAACCTTTTCTGAAACTCCTATTTCTAGGAATTGGACGGAGGACCCTGTCTGTTAGTAAGTGATGTCAGTTACCACTGAAGTCTTTCTTAAATGGCTTTTCTGATTTAGTCTTTCTAGATGAAGTTGCGGACATTTTCGTGCTTTCCTGTGCTTGTTAACCTTCCTGGAACTGTCTGCTCACCCACACTTTTTGTCTTGTGTGCAACCTCAGTGGGTATTTGAGCTGCTGGTATCTCTGATCTGGACAGGTTGCCTACAGGCAGCTTCCTGCTGAAGGTCTCTGCCTTTCACTGAGGTCATTTTTCAGACCTCACAGTTGTATTTGAAACATAGCAACTATTTGCCTCAGACTCCACGGTTACACATGGAACAAGTTTTCAATAATCAGAAGTCTTTGGCACACTTGAGTTGAATTCATGGTACTAACAGATTTTCATTGCTTGCCTTTGAGCATGTGCAGATTTTAGCCTACTATGAAGGGAGGGGAATCATGACAAAGTTAGATAACAGTTCAGAATGGCTCTCAGAACAAAGGAGAGGGAGCCCCTCATCACCAGAAGAGTGCTAGTGAACACTGGTGGACTCTCCTTCTAAGGGTGTTATTATAGGAGCTTCTGCAGTTGGTTGCATTACATGCCCTCAAAGCTGCTGTGGATTTACTGAGGGAGGTAAATTACCAGGTTTCAGCCCCCCTCTTGTTACTATAGAAGCAGTCTAATCTTAGAAGAGGAAATGAAAGAGATTTAGGCTTCTTCCCAGATGCACAGCTGCCTTGCTCTTGATCTTAAAACACCTTTTACTTGCAGCTCTGTTCCCAACTCGTTAAAATCAGAAAGTAATATTACTAATACCTACTATATCTCTAGAAAGGACATTTAGATTCTCGAAGAACAAGAGCTACTGTATGTAGTTCGATATTTCCAGTGAAGTTATTTTGTCTGATTATGCATTCAGCAGATGTTTACTAAGCATGTACTGAAGTTTAAAACATTATCAGGCATTGTGAGGGATATGAAACCCACTGTACAGGATGGCTACTCTCATTATTCCCATTTTACAGATAAGAAAAGTAAGGTTCATGAAAGCTAAGTAACTCCTCTGAAGTTAGACTGAGTTAGACTGTTGTCAAGCAGCAGGGGCAGACTTGAATCCAGTATCTCTAGCTGCAGAGCTGTGCTCTTACCCCTCCCGTGTACTGCCTTCTGCTCCTAGGTTGGGCCGGAAGGTACAGCTCTGTGCTTATCTAGAAATGATAAGAACATGACTTAAAACCTGTTCTTCAGTTATTTATTTTGTTTCTTTAACTTCACAGCCGTGTCACAGATCTAAACAACAGGGATTCAATTACTGTACATCAGCCATTTCTTCTCCACTAACAAAATCCATCTCATTAATGACAATCAGCCATCCTGGGTTGGACCGTAAGTATATTACTTTTTTTTTTTTTTAATTAAGTGTATTTTAAACACTTTCTCTGTCATTTTTCTCATTTTAAGACCCTGTAACATTACCTTCCAAAATTTGCCTGCCTCTTCCTTTGAATGGCTCATTTACACACAGAAGGTGACAGACAGCTCAGTTTTGGGAACTTATTCCTTTTGTCACCTAAAAAAATCTCTTTCATACATTAAATGCATTATAGTCTTAGGCCTAAACCTGACACAGATTTCTTTAAACTTTTTATTTTGAAGTAATTTCAGACTTTAAAAATAGTTACAACAGGGCGCCTGGGTGGCTCAGTTGGTTGGGCGACTGCCTTCGGCTCAGGTCATGATCCTGGAGTCCCGGGATCGAGTCCCGCATCAGGCTCCCTGCTCGGCAGGGAGTCTGCTTCTCCCTCTGACCCTCCTCCCTCTCATGCTCTCTGTCTCTCATTCTCTCTGTCTCAAATAAATAAATAAAATCTTTAAAAAAAAAAAAAAATAGTTACAACAACGGTGCAAAGAATTACGTTTGGGGACTTAGAGTTCCCAAATGTTATTATAACCATAACTTGGAGTCCCCCCACATGTTATATATGTTATATAAAAGTGTCATAACTTTTTATCAATCTTTCTTCCTCTGTCATCATTTCTTTTAAAGTTTTTCTGAAACACTGGAGAATAAGTTATAAACACAATACAGTTATGTCTGAAAGATATTCTATTCTATTACTGTAGTACAATTATCCAAATTTTATCCAATATTTATTTCCTGAGCTCTTCAAAAACGTCAAGCGTGGGCCATCTGGGTGGCTTAGTCGTTAAGCGTCTGCCTTCGGCTCAGGTCCTGATCCCAGGGTTCTGGAATCGAGCCCCGCATCGGGCTCCCTGCTCCACGGGAAGCCTGCTTCTCCCTCTCCCACTCCCCCTGCTTGTGTTCCCTCTCTCGCTGTGTCTCTCTCTGTCAAATAAATAAATAAAAAATCTTTAAAAAAAAAAAGTCAAGCTCATGAAAGAAAAAGAAAGACAGATACATTTTTAGTTGGTTAAGCATGTGCCAAAAGAATTACATCTGCAAATGATGAATGGAGCTATATGCAGGTTTCGGACCCGCTGGCTGGGTAAGTTAGATGTCTGGCACCCGTAAGCACAGGGCCTTTGCAAATAAAAGATGCTCAGAAACATTATTTGAATTGGATCTAAATGTTTGCCAAGGAAAGGCAGCTTGTTCTTTGAGAAAGCCCACCTTTTTGTTTTAATTTTTAAAATCTTGATTATTTTTCTATGAGTAATTACAATTTAAGATCACAATGTAAAGATTTAATGCTCACCAAGGAGGGAGTGATCCATTATTTGCTGAAAGACCGTGTATTCAGGAGGCTGAGGCAGAGGAAATAAATAAACTCTATGGTGTTTCTGGTGCTTCCTCGGTGTCCCCTGATACAGCTCATCTTAAAAGAGTTGGGGACAGGGCGCCTGGGTGGCTCAGTTGGTTAAGCGACTGCCTTCGGCTCAGGTCATGATCCTGGAGTCCCAGGATCGAGTCCCGCATCGGGCTCCCTGCTCGGCAGGGAGTCTGCTTCTCCCTCTGACCCTTCTCCCTCTCATGCTCTCTGTCTCTCATTCTCTCTCAAATAAATAAATAAAATCTTTAAAAAAAAAAAAAAAAAGAGTTGGGGACAGAAGCAGCTGCCCTGCATTAGGGAGATGACTTACTGCAGGCCTCATCTTTTTAACTTCCACAGTAGAATTAAGACATGATAGATAATTCTATTAACCTTGTCCTCGTTTTCATGATCACTGCTTCACATCTGGCCTGTTTGGTGATGACATGTTCTCAAAGATGCGGATGTGACCCTGCAGAATTACAACTGGAATAGCTTTCCCTGTGTTTGTTTGGGTTTTGGTTTTGTTTTGATCTGGCTTTGGGTTAGAGGTTTTGCTGGTATGGAATGAAAATCATTAGAGCAAAATAGTTAATATTGGATTTGATGAGCCTGGAGTGCTAGAGCTCAATAGCCAAAGACAGGAAAGCACTCTAAAGTGAGACATTTCAGCTCTTTGTAGCTTCCTTCCATGACTAGTGAGTGTGGTGTCATGGTGGAGAGTCTACTCCATAGCAACAGATACCCAACACCAACAGAATGTGTCCCATGGAGGGATCTTTTTCCTATATTTTGTGACACACTCTCTTGCGTCGTGCATGAAACACTTCATTAATTTTTCCTCCAAAAAGCCAGACGGTTTTTGACTGTGTTTTCAGTTGCTAGCCAAACACTAAATAATGCGGCTAACTCCCAGAAGACGCTGTCCTAGAGTGCCAGGAGTTATGGCACATGGAGCTTTTCCTCTTGCTGGGAAATGTTCTGCTCCGCTCACTGAGGGTACTGAAATGAGTTAGACTGTTGTCAAGACTAGAGCTCTAAGCAAGAGTTTAATCCTTTGGTTAAAATAGGGTACCCTCATTCTAACTTACATTGTACATTTCATGCACGTTTGAATGATAAAGTCGTAAATCAGGTAGCTAGCCCCACAATTTCCCTGAGTTAGCATACGCTGTAATTAGAGGATTAATCAACTCTAATGACACTGTTTCTCCTTAGTCCCTCCCCATATACAATTAAATTAGTTTTCCCAAGTGTGTGTTTTTATTCTGCTCCAGAAACAAATTTTTTCACAGATGTAAAACTTCTGGCAGTTGAACAGAAGACTAAACCTTGTGTCCCATGTGCTGTGCCTTTAAGCATCAGGGTCACTGGACAGTTCTCGATTTGCCATAGACTGCATTCCAAATCGCTTAAATACTCTGCGTGATTCATCTCTGGTCATGGTCTCCCTAGCTGAAAGGATCATAACTAACATCTACAAAGTGATTTTAAAGCCGCGAAAGCATTCAGTACACTTAAAACGTTTTAATTGTTGTTTTACTGTAAGCACACATTTGGTGGCTGTGTGACGTGACCTTGGGCTAGATAGTGAAATTCTGTGTGTCAATTACTTGATTAGACGGGTAATAAAGTGATAAGGCTTAAATGTGCATTTACGTCAAGTCCTTAGCATATTTCCTGGCTTATAAGAAGCAGCTGCCAGAGTCTGTCTGTCTCTGACCAGAGTGTAAACGTTAAAGAAACGAGAACACCATCCCTCATTGTCTTTAAGTGGCTGTGTCTTAGGAGTACACTTGTCTAGGAACAAAGTACTTTCTAAGCTCAACCTTATTTCACTACTTCCAACTTCTACCTGTGCTGTCTCTTCTTCCTTCAAAGAAATTAGCTGCTTCTGCCACAGCCTTTCACAGCTGTTAACATTTGGGCATTTCTGAAAATGTATGTCTCCTGAGCCTGTTGTCTGGTATGTCCTGTTGGGTCATTTTCTAGAAGAGAAAAACAGAGAAACTCAACATTATTTCTAAGCTGGGATCATTTTCTCATATCCATTGATACAGAGGAAACCACTGAGTAAAGGTGGTGACTAATGGATTTCTGTGTCATTTTCTGGGGTTTGGAAAGTAGACAGGCGACAGCTTACTCGGGAACCACAATGGGTAGGGAAGCTGTCCTCACTCCTGTCTTGGCTGTGCTGTCTTGGGGGGAACACGAATGCATCTCGCCAGTTCATTTTTTAGGGAATGGGAATAGCACTGAAGCTACCTGCATCATGTGGGGAAATGCTGGGAGGGCTGCCCTTAGAGAAACTGCTCCCAGAGATGTGTTTGGTCCCGTTTCTCCTTGCATCAGAGCTGATGGAGTGGAGGCTCCCGGAGATGTGTTTGGCCCCATTTCTCCTTCTTGCATCAGAGAGCATGGAGCGAAGGCTCCCAGCTTGCCAGGAGACCTAGATGATTTCTTGATTGAACTTAATAATAAACTTTGTTTTTGCATGTACAGAATAATTCCGTTATTACAGATGATCCCTTTCCAAGAGTATATTTTAAAACATCTCATTGCTTGTACTGAGAAGATGCTTACGAATAGTAGAGAAAGTGCTTGGTTGATTGTATCCCCGGAAGGGCCCTCACCATGTTAGTGGTGGTGATGTTAAAAGGAGAATTGTACCCGTTAGATAGATTTTTTTTTAACTCAGAGGCTTTTAATGAGAAATCATTTTCCCTTCATTTTTCAGGGAGTGTTATCACAAAGAACATATATGTTGCATACATGTTGAGGATACGCCTTTAGATATTCATACAAATAGGTTTTTCCTTATGATCCATGAAATTGCGGCAAAAGGTTTTGTGTAGCAAGAGAGCTCATTTTCATTTGCTGAATTTGCTTTGCATTTGGAAATAACTTTAGAAAGCACATAAAGAGGGTACCTTAACTGGTACTAGCCGTCACTGCCCGAAAAGCCAGTGTATGTGTATTCGTGCCAGCAGCTGTCTGATCTCTGTCGTTGATGTAGCTGCAGACAGTCTCGGATCACTTAGTTTTTGTGCAGGGTATTACGTTGGTGTAGGGCTTTTTCATTCCATTTAGGACACTGAGCTTTCAGAAATCCTGACAGAGGGAAATTCATTTATTACTTTGTTTATTCAGGAAGCACTTGCCTTACTCTGTGCCAGGCCCCAGGCCAGACAGTGGTAGGAGAGGGATGAGCTTAGAGGCCCGGTTTCTTTCCTCACCACATTCACGCAGACAAGAGAACAGGTGCATGTAATAGGAAGTGATCAGTGCAGCAAGTGAAAGAAACACTGGGCTTTTCAGGAGCATCTGACAGGGGCGGCTTACCGGGGAGAAGTAATCTCAAAGTTGAGACCAACGGGAGACTAGGATTCGGTACAGGAGTGAGTGCAGGCATGCTGCAAGGTATCACGGTTCCGTTCCAGACCACCACGGTGAAGCAGATAGCACAGTAAAGCAAGTCAGGTGAATTACTAGATTTCCCAGCGCATATAAAAGTTATGTTTACACTGTGCTATGGTCACATGTGCAATAACATGTCTTTAAAAAAAAAAAAAAGCCGTGTACATACCTAAATTAAAAAATACCTTATTGCTAGGGGCGCCTGGGTGGCTCAGTTGGTTGGGCGGCTGCCTTCGGCTCGGGTCATGATCCTGGAGTCCCTGGATCGAATCCCGCATCGGGCTCCCTGCTTAGCAGGGGAGTCTGCTTCTCCCTCTGACCCTCCCCCCTCCCATGCGCTCTTTCTTGCTCTCTCAAATAAATAAATAAATAAATAAAATCTTTAAAAAAAAAATACCTTATTGCTAAAAAATGCTAACCATCACCTGAGCTTTTGGTGAGTTGTAATCTTTTTGCTGGTGGAGGGTCTTACCTACAGGCTGGTGGCTGCTGAAGGCTGGGGTGGCTGTGGCTTACCTCAGAATAGGACAGCAGTGAAGTTTGCCATACAGATTGATTCTTCCTATCATGAATGATTTCTCTAGCATGCGATGCTGTCTGATAGCATCTTACCCACAGAACTTCTTTCAAAATTGAAATCTGTCCTCTCAAAACCTGCTGCTGTTTTATCAGTTAAGTTTGTGGGATATTCTAAATTCTTTGTTGTTGTTCCAACAATCTTCACAGCATCTTCACCAGGAGTAGATTCCATCTCAGAATCCAGTTTCATTGCTCATCCATAAGAAACAACTCCCCATCTGTTAAAGTTTTGTCATGAGATTGAATCAATTCAATCCCATCTTCAGGCTCCACATCTGTTCCTAGTTCTCTTGCTGTTTTCACCACATTTGCAGTGACTTCTTCCACTGACATCATGAACCCCTCAAAGTCATCCACGAGGGTTGGAATCAGCTTCTTCCAAACTCCTGTTCATGTTGATATTCTGAACTCTTCCCATGAATCACGAATGTTCTTACTGGCATCCAGAATGGTGAATCCTTTCCAGAAGGTTTTCAGTTTACTCTGTCCAGATCCAGCAGAGGAATCACTATCTGTGGCAGCTATAGTCTTATGAAATATATTTCTTTTTTCTTTTTTTTTTTTTTTTTTAAATTCATAAGAGAGCGAGAGAGAAAGGCAGAGGGAGAAGCAGGCTCCCAAGGAGCAGGGAGCCCGATGCGGGACTCGATCCCAGGACCCTGAGATCATGACCTGAGCCGAAGGCAGATGCTTAACCATCTGAGCCACCCAGGCGCCCTATATTTCTTAAAATAATAAGACTTAAAAGTCAAAATGACTCCTTGATCCGTGGGCTGCAGAATGGACGTTGTGTTAGCAGGCATGAATCTCCTTGTCAATCTCCGTCAGAGCTCTAGGGTGACCAGGTGCATTATCAATGAGTAGTACTGTTCTTGAAAGGTATCTTTTTTTCAGAGCAGTGGATATCAAGAATGGGCTTAAGATATTCAGTAAAGCATGTTGTAAGTGGATGTGCTGTCAACCAGGCTTTGTTGTTCCACTGACAGAGCACAGCCATAGTAGATTTAGCATAATGTTTAGAGGCCCCAGGATTTTTGGAATGGTACATGAGCATTGGCTTCAGCTTACAGTCAGCAGCAGCATTAGCCCCTGACAAGACAGTCAGCCCGTCCTTTGAGGCTTTGTAGCCAGGCCCTGGCCTCCCCTCTCTGGCGGTGAAAGTCCTAGATGGCATCGTCTTCTGATAGAAGGCTGTTTGGTCCACGCTGAAGATCCGTTGTGTAGTGGAAGCCAGGCCCTGGCCTCCCCTCTCTTGCGGTGAAAGTCCTAGATGGCATCGTCTTCTGATAGAAGGCTGTTTGGTCCACGCTGAAGATCCGTTGTGTAGTGGAACCACCTTCATATTCAAATGATCTCCACTAGATTTTCTGGAGACCTCGCTGCTGCTTCACCTTGCAGTTTGATGTCGTGGGGATGGCTGGCTGCCTTAAACCTCCTGAACAACCTCTGCTAGCTTCAAAATTTTCTTACGCAGCTTCGTCCCCTCCTTCAGCCTTCACAGAATTGAAGAGAGTGAGGGCCTTGCTCTGGATTAAGCTTTGGCTTAAGGGAATGTTGTGGCTGGTGTGATCTCTGACCCAAACCACTAAAACTTTCTCCATATCAGCAATAAATCTGTTTGCCTTTCTTATCATTCATGTGTTCAGTGGAGTAGCACTTTGAATTTCCTTCAAGAACTTTTCCTTTGCCTTCACAACTTGGCTGTTTGACACGAGAGGCCTAGCTCTCAGCCTGCCTTAATCACTGTGCTTAATTATTTCTAGCTTTTGATTTAAAGTGAGAGACTTGGGACTCTTTCTTTCACTTGAACACTCAGAGGCTATTGCAGGGTTACTAATTGGCCTAATTTCAATATCGTGTCTAGGAATCAGGGAGGCCCGGTGGGCAAGGTGGGTAATGGCTGATTGTTCTCGCTAAAGTTCACTGTCTTATATGGGAGTGGTGTGTAGCGCCCCAAAACAATTACATTAGATCACTGATCACAGATTACCATAACAAATGTCATAATAACGAAAATGTTTGAAATATTGCAAAAATTATCAAGACTGCTTATGGACACAAAGTGAGGAGATGCTGTTAGCAAAATGGCACTGATAGGCTTGTTCAACACTGGGTCACCACAGACCTTCGATTTGTAAAAGTTGCAATATCTGCGAAGTGCAGTTAAACGAAGTGCTGTAAAATGAGGTGTGCTTGTATGTGGAAAGCAAGACCTGGGGTATTTGGGTTTCTTGTCTGAGGGCAGTGGAGTGATTTAAGGTGATTGAATGGAGCAATTCAGACACTTCAGAGAGACCACACTGACGTCAGTGTTGGGGAGCAGAGGTGACGGATCAGGAGAAGGCGAGAATTCTGGAATACAGAATCAAAAGAACTGAGTGAGGCGTGACAGACGCCTTCAAGGGTGGTGCCCAGGTTTCTGTTCAGAGTAATTCTTTGGATGTTAGGTACCACTTACCAAACAAAGGAGTACAGGAGGAGGAGCAGGTCTGGAGGAAAAGCAGAGTCCACTTCCGTGCTTGCTCAGTTTGCGTGGCCTGTGGGCCAACCCCACCCCCCCAGAGGGGAGCAGTCTCTTGAGCCCAAAGGACAGCTCTGGCTGAAGGGAGGGCAGGTGTGTGTCACCAGTCTATCCTATGCTGACTGTACTTTAGGGAGGGCAGGGGGTGAGGAGGTTTGGGGTGAGGGAGAAGAGAGCAAAACACAGAATCCTGAGAAACACCACCCCTCCAGGTGTTTTCACTCTGAAGGAAACAACTCCAGCTATAAATTACGACCATTAGGGCGCCTGGGTGGCTCAGTCGTTAAGCGTCTGCCTTCGGCTCAGGTCATGATCCCAGGGTCCTGGGATCGAGCCCCGCATCGGGCTCTCTGCTCCGTGGGAAGCCTGCTTCTCCCTCTCCTCCTGCTTGTGTTCCCTCTCTCGCTGTGTCTCTCTGTCAAATAAAGAAAGAAAATCTTTAAAAAAAAAAAAAAAGACCGTTAAAAATAATGGACTTGTTTTCTTACTCTAGCAAGTAGGTGTTTGTTTTGTTGGATGAATTTTTTAAGCTGTATTGGAATTCTACATATTCAGAAATAAAGATGGAAAATTAAATATGGTGCTGGCCTAAACAGCCTTTCCTGGAACCAAACAGGCTTGTGACGTGATTCTGTTCAGCCTGGTTTGAGGTGCCTTTGACTTTGTTCTGGAACAGTCTGCGTGCACTAATGTCTTCTGTGAACCCACTTCTCAGCCCAGCCGCGGATGCAGCCAGCAAGGCGGGTCTCCTTCTCCGTCCGCATCTCTCCACATCTCCTTAAGTCTAAAACCCTTTTTTCTCTTGGCTCTTCTTACTCCAGTGATGAGGAGGAGGAGTTGCATAGTAAGTAAGCAACTTTGGTGTCCGTGGCTATTCTCCAGAGTCTGACCAGTGCTGAAAATGCTGTCAGCTTAACTAAGAAATTGGGGACTTTTATCCCTTGCATGCCGTCATTTCTAAATCACTTGTCTTCATGCTTCGCTTTGAAAATTAACCTGGATGAAACCATTTTGACCTTCTGAACACCACCTGCACTGGTTGATCCCGTGGCCTGACTACAGGGCATGGGCATGTGTTCCTGTCCCACCTTGTACCTTGTGTGTACTGAGCACTAATTTCACAGAGCTTTCTATTTGATAACATAAATTTCATTTTTCCTTATTTTGCTTTTTTTGTCTCATGGGACACCTAGATATCCACCTTTGGTATTTAAAAGCTAATGTTAAACATTTTTCTTCTCACCTTTCAGACGACACGTGTCTTTAAAAATACCTTTCCCTTGGGGCACCTCACGGGCTACAGCATGTGACTCTTGATCTCAGGGTTGTGAGTTCGAACCCCACGGTGGGCAAAGAGATTACTTTAGAAAAAAAAAGAAAGAAAAAATACCTTTCCTTTGCGGTTACACCCCATGAATTAGGGGGTGGGCGTTATAGATTCATTTCCTTTCTTCCTACCTTCTTTCCTTCGGAACTTTTATTTTTCAATCTAAACTGCGGTGTGGATTTCAGATTAATATATCCTTAATTGATAATGCCTAGTTTAAAAACTTTATAAAGTATCAGTTTTGGTAATCTTGGAAAGGAAATGAATTCTCTCCCCTCCCCATGAAAAATCACTGTTTTCAATTATTCAGGACTTCTAGAATATTTCAGGATTGCTATTTTTAATGGAAAAAACATTTCTATAATAAAGGTGTAAATAATGAATTATTTTCATTTCATATAACTAATATGAGTCTCAGGGAATTACAGTATTCATATAATTGAACACCCTAATCCCTACCACTTGCTGACCCTATATTTCAACAGTATTTAAGTGTCTATTTATTTAAATACTAAAATTTTATAATTAAGCAATATTAAGTTCAGAGTGACCCCTTTGCATTGTTCTTACAGGAAAGTACCTTTATGTACAGTAACAAGTTTAATTTCTCTTAAATGGAGGTCTTATTATATTCAGTCCTTTTTTCACAATTAAAAGATGTTTGGTAATAGGCATACCATGAGATACTTACTTTATACCAGTTGTAATAGGAGGGAAGTTATGAAAATCCACTTACAACTTTGAGTGTTCAGAAATTCTCAAGCCTGTTTCAGCTCAAAGTATTTGTGATACCCCGGGAAATAGGTCTATTTATGGCCACTAAAACAAAGGTCCCAGTGGCATTTCTTCTACCACTAATACAAAATTATTAATATAAAACAGCTGGTTATACAGTTAACCCAACATGATGGAATCATAAAAATATGGACGCTTGAAGGGACCTTTGAATCAAGTGTCTAGCATTCCTCAAAATGTGTTCCTTAAACTCAAAAATAGCAGTAGGCATTAGGGAGGTGGAGGGGAGAGGAAGATAAAGGGTTGGTTCATGGCCACATAAATTTAGGAAATTCCAGTTAAGCTGGTTTCAGGTGCTGATGTGCACATTGTGAATTTCCAAGGCAGTGTTCAATGAGCTGTGTTTCCCAAACTTACTAGCTTGGTAACCACAATATGTGCCTGATTATACACGACACCTCACAAAACTAGTATTATGTGGAACACACTTTGAAAATATTGACCATGTCCATCCAGTAGTTCTGACCCTGGAATGTTATAGTATATTAGGTCTGCAGGTTACTTCAGGACTTGAAGAAAAGCCTAGTTGGAATACGCTGTTGACCTGCCCTAGCACCTCACAAGCCACCTTCAGTGACAGATTTTTCCGCTTTTGTCTATAATGGTACCGTGGAAGTAACGTTGGTTATTTCATCCTCTTAGGTGCTCTGAAAACTTGATGACACTTTAGGAATCTCAGGCATTGGTGGATTAATCACTGTTTTCAGAGCCACATCTAAGATGTCACAGCAAATGAATTAAAATTTTTTCAGCAGTGAAAAGGTTGGAAATCCTTGTAAGAGTCAAAGATTGTCCCAGTACTCAATCACATTTTTGTTCAGTTTTTAATTTATTCAACAGAAAACTGCTAGGAGCTTATTCTTGGCCAGGCTCTTTGCTGGTTGGTATTTTTCCTCATTGTGGATTTTACGTTAACTTGTTCATATTACTAGGGTGGTAACTTCCCGGGAAAGGTGATTGCTCCCATGTACAGACAGAGTCCTGGCAGCGTGAGAGAATTTAATGCTGCTTCTACCATGTAAGGTTCCTTGGGTAGAAAAGGTTTTAAAAGCACTGATATAAACCACACTCTTGGTTTTTTGTTTAAGTAAATTAAAGCATCTGAGGTTAAACTGCTGTTTCACACCTAGATCATGCAGAACTCGGGGACGGATCCCAGATTTTCTTCTTAACTCTGTTCATCTTTCACAACTGGTTGTTACTACCATGCATTGTAAGTGAAATAGAAGAAGAACCCAAATACGTAAAAGGAAAAACCACAGAGAGCAGTCTTTTGAAGACTTAGAATTGATTTTTAAGTTTCTTAGGCATTATTCCTTCTTGTTGGCTATTTACTTAGCAAGAGCTACCATTTTGCATTTTTATTCAGAATCTAGAGCAGGTTGGACATTTAAGAGTTTTGAATGCTGGTAATGTGGTAGTGGAACATCTTCAAATCTCTATCAAATTAAAATATTACAATAATCTCATTATAATATAAAATTATAACAATCATAATAATCTCAAAGTAATCCTTGAAACCCATCTGAAGGAAGAAGTGTGTGTCCTGTTCACATTATAACAACAGTGGTACTTGGGAACAGACTTTGCCTACTGGTATTTCTATACCTGATCTCCTAAAAATTGGAAACCATTTATCATTGTGTGATTGAGACCTTCTCCTGTAAGTCCTAAAGTAGCTCAAGCTTTATTAACATGTCATAGATAAAAGAATGTAGTGTTCCTTCTGTTTGCTCCACTTAACTGCCCTGCTGTCTGACCTGGCCCTTACTTGTAATGACCTGCTTCACTTTATGGTCTGGTTGTCATAGGAGGAGGAAGGATGCATCTGCCCTACACATTGTCAGTGTCAGCCTGGCAAGGACTTTACCATGTGCTTTATCTCCCCGTCTCACAGATGAGGAAATGAAATCCCAAGATCTCACCCCAAATTAGGGACAAGACCAAGATCTTTCAAGCCAGCTCTGATGCTCTTTTCCTGTTCACTTATCCATTTCCTTCTAGGAATGCTCACGAAATTATCAGATATACATTAGCTAGACTTTTTGGTATGGAAACCTTTGAAAGCAAAATGAACAGCATGCAGAATACGATATTTAATTTTCGATTTTATGTTCTTCCTGTGATGTCATCTCAGAAAGATGGCCTGTGGAAACAGAGCATTGACAAGAACAGGAATTAAACCTGTTTCCTGTATGTTTGAACATGAGGAAAAGAATGTTGTTTAGGGGTTTGCTCACTAGCTTGAATCCTGGATTAAATATTTTGTCGTGGGGAATTCGCCTCTGTTGCCGCCTGTTTGTAGTTCCGATATTGAGGGGTTAGAGTAGAATTTTTCCTTCTTCCAAACCCTTGCTTAGACAGAGAAGGCACCGCGCGCTGGCTTTCAGACGCTCTTTCTGTTCTACACGTATCGTCGTAAACATTCTAAACATCGGCTCCATCATCCACGCACAGTCCTTCAGTTCCAACGTTTTCTCTCCCGTTTCTGTTTTCCAGATTCACGGCCGTTCCTCGGTACCAGTGCCAACCTGACCGAGAGGTACTGCACGTTTATTTTGTTACTCCTTTCCCTGAGATGAAATGAAGGAAACCCAAAATGTCTTAGGACGTTTAACTAAGTCAACCAAGAAGTGAATTCAGCCCATGGGATTCTTACTTCCTTGAGTAATCAATTTGGAATAATGGCTACAAGTGGTTTGTAAAGAAGGCTCTGGCCTTTTCAAATAATGTCCTCAAGAGTCTTTTACTTTTGCTCTCTACACTGTCACAAGGATACATGTTTGCATGTTTATTCAGGAGAGGAAACACTTGTATTTGACTCTGTGAACTTTAGTACTCTGCTTATAGGAATTGTTGTCCCTAAGCCCGACAACATTTTGTTTCATTGTGTGTGTGTGTGTGTGTGTGTGTGTTACTGCTGCCTTAGCCATTTTAAGCTTTTAAAGTCTTTTTCTTCTGCCTGCACGGATATGGTACACAGTTCTGTCCAAGTAACTGAACTGGTTCTTTACTTGACAGCAGGCAGAAGATTTGTATGCTGACTAATTGTTTATTTTTATATTCATCTTGTCATGCTTATGGGGCTCTAAAGCATTCTAATGTAAGCATAATGGGGGTTCTGGTTGTTGCCCTGCACTTTAAGCTGCTCTCCTTTTCACAGAGGCATAAGCTGTTACTCAGTGATCCAGAACTCTCAGTATGAATGCTTCTCTTTGCATTTCTGTGACAGTTTATTGATCCTTTGTCCTCTAGGGCAGTGGTTCTCACACCATTTCCCCTTCATCGTCACGACAGGCTGCTTTATTTTGTAAGCAGTTCTTTATACATGAACAGACCTTAGCTATTGAAGAGGGTTGTTCCCCCCTCTTGAGTTGTGCCTCTGTTCTCTCTCAGAGGCCCTTGAGGTAAACAACTTTTCTGCAGAAAAGTTCTTAAAATAATGATTTGTAGGGGCGCCTGGGTGGCTCAGTCGGTTAAGCGGCTGCCTTCGGCTCAGGTCATGATCCTGGAGTCCCAGGATCAAGTCCCGCATCGGGCTCCCTGCTCGGCGGGGGGGTCTGCTTCTCTTTCTGACCCTCCCCCCTCTCATGTGCTCTCTCTCATTCTCTCTCTCAGATAAATAAATAAAATCTTTTAAAAAATAAAAAAAAATAATGGTTTGTAGAACACCTCAGAAAAGCAGTACACGTAGATTCCTCTTCTGTGTAATGGATTGTGTGTACAAGTGCCCAGCATTCTTTGAGGAAATGAGCCATTGTGAATTTCCTACGATCCAAACTTAGTCCATCATAGGTGGACTTAGGTTCTTCGTAGCCTCCCTCCTAAAACTGTGCAAAGCTGTATGCACCAGATTGATTGCCAAGGAGCGTGGGCATTGTGCTGTGCTCTGTTCTCGGATCTTACTGTGTGGAGCCACCCAGCAGCCTCTGTCCATCCTTGCTCTTGCCTCCCGTTCTCATGTGTGTATGTCAGTTGACTGTGACTTGTAGCTCAGATGTATATGGTTGCAGAGAAATGTATTTTTTAATCTGTGTTTAATTTTTTTTTTAATTAACTTCTGTAGTCTTTTTAAAAAAATCAATTGCCTTGTTTTTATTTAGCATAACAGAAGAGACCTATAGTTTCCTGCCACAGAGCCCCTCCAAGAAAGATTTTGAAGGGAAGAGTGGAACGAAAGTCAGTCGTACATTCAGCTACATCAAGAATAAAATGTCCAGCAGTAAGAAGAGCAGAGTAAGTACCGTTGGGGGCCTTCCCTGTGTGGCCGCCTTAGTTGCTCACCCGTGGACTCCTGTCACAGCCTGCATACACCCAAAAAGTAATGAAATAATGGGGACATAAGGAAATAAACCCAGAAATAATCTCTGAAATAGCCTAATATTTGAAGAAAAATGGCGACAAAAGGTGATACCACTGATTGGGTTTTTACTGTGTGCTGAGAGCTTTTCATATGTTATTTTATAGAATCCTTTCCACAGCCGTGGAAGGCAGATATTATCTCCCTTTTCTGGGAGTCAGCTACCCTATCTGGTTGTGTGCCCCCCACGTTAGTGGAACAGAGGTCCAAATCTGGACCTCTTTGGCTTCAGATTCCATACGCTCAAGCACATGTCTTAATTGGTAAACCAGCTTTAAAATGTACCTGAAGGGGGTGCGCCTGGGTGGCTCAGTTGGTTAAGCGTCCGGCTCTGGTCATGATCTCGAGGTTGTGAGATCGGGCTCTGCACTCAACGTGGAGTCTGCTTGTCCCTGTCCCTCTGCTCCTCCCCCCACTCATTTTCGCGCGCTCGCTCTCTCTCAAATAAATAAATGAATAAATAAAATCTTTAAAAATAAATAAAATAAAATGTACCTGAAGGATTTTATGCCAAGATCAGGGGATTTAAGATATTTATATTTGGATTTAGAGGTTAGAAAGATTGTCCCACAGAAAATTACAAGAACTTTTAAGATGAGAGTGGATTCCTAGATCTAGTCCCAATTGGATGTGCATGTTGCAGTGAATTCTTTTTAGTGAGTGAGGTTATGTTAAAGTACTTAAACATTTTTGTCTGTTTTTTTTCATACTCATAGGAATATTTAAAATATAAAAATAAAAAGATAAAAACCACCTGTAATACCCCACATAGAGGTAGCTACTCTTCTCATTTTTTTCAATGTGTTTTTAAAAGCAAGGAAGACAAAGAGTTACTTTTATACTGATTCCCAGTGTAAACCAAAACCAATTCAGTGTCCCATCAGTGGGGAAAAAACTTTATGCCTCCCACTTCCCCTGTACTCCATTCACCCACCCAGATGCCAGCAAAATAAATAACAAAAAAACAAAGCTTTTGAATGGAAATCAGCAAAGGAGCTCTTGCCAAGGAATCACTATATATATTGCATGTGTATACATGTGCTTGGTATGTATATACGTAGAAGTAAGGGAATGAACAAACACTGAACTCAAGAATATTATTTTAAAAGTGCACCCCTTGCACTCCCCTCAAACCTCCCCCCCCCCCCCCCCGCCAAAATACAGCAAACTTTTTAAGCCCTTAGTTAAGTGGGCTGGTAGAAGTAGAGCCAATGAATTTTATGAGGTTTTGTAAATAAGATCACTTTCTTTTAGCAAATGCTAGGTTCAATCCTCAGAGGCATTTTTCCACAAAACCTGCCACCAGAATTGTGTTTTCATTTTTCCTGCCCAGGTGCAGAAGGGGAGGAAGGTGGGCCAATCAGGAAAAAACAGGAAAAAGATGCAAGGAGTCTAGCAGATTGTTTCTAGAATAATCATATATACAAGTATTAACTTTAGACATAGCCTTGTTTTATCATTTAAAAAAATTCAGGTTAAATAGGGCAGAATGTTTATCAGTGTTCCACAGATTGGCGGCAAGGCTTGAAATAGAGCCTTATCTTTTTGAGTTATCACTTCTGGCTCGGACACTGGTTGGCATCAACAAAAGAAAATCTCCTTGCAAAGATCACTGTAAATTAGCCAACTATTACCAAATGACGTCTGTAGATGGTCTCAGCATTCTGCCAGGTGCTCCTAAAGAACTAAAGATCATCATCTTTATTTTGAGAAATTTTATGATCTATTTGGACACTTTCAAATGTAGTTGTTGTTTTTGTTCTGTTTTTAAAATGTGGGATCTTCAATTGGGAGACCAGTAAATAAGTGGCGAGTCCCCTTTCCATCCATCTCTGCAGTGACCACGTTAACTTTCAGGGCAGGGCAGTGAATACACCACAGATTGCATTAATGAGGGAATACAACCAGACATAAACAAAACCATGTAAGATCAAATTGAGTAACTGGAACCTGACTTTTAAAAAAGTCTCATCCCATCCTCCTTATTTTACAAACTGAAGCCCAGAGAACTATGCTTCAGGTCACAGACTAGATAATATTAACTAAATAACCTCTTTGTGGGCTGACTTCTAGCAATTCGTATAATTCATTTCATGCTCACTCAGAATCTAGCCATTACTAAACAGTATCTTTTTAACTTTTTAAATAACTCAGAGGACTGGAGTTTGCTAGTAGGGAGTGAGAGAAAGGCAGGAGAAAAGAAGGAAATTGTTAGAGCGGAGTCTGTCATCCCTGACAGAGACTGTATCAGTTGACCTTTTGTGTCCGAGCGTCTCCTTTGCCAAAACGACAGCACTGTTTTGCAGTGAGACTGGTTCCTCTTTCACACGTGGCCTCAACATTTGGTCTTTGGGGGCTCGTGTTGCCTCTGGCAGTGGAAACTCTCAAAAAATTATGAATCTGGGGGAGCCTGGGTGGCTCAGTCAGTTAAACGCCTGCCTTCAGCTCAGGTCACGATCTCAGGGTCCTGGGATCAAGCCCTGCATCGGGCTCCCTGCTCGGCGGGGAGTCTGCTTCTCCCTCTCCCACCCCCCTGCTCATTCTCTCTCTCACTCCCCTCTCTCTCTTTCTCTATCTCTCTCAAATAAATAAACTTTAAAAAAAAAATTACAAATCTGTAACCCTGGATGGCAGTCCTTCACATTATCAGGTGTTTAGAAAAGTGCCCCGCTGGCCAAATGTGTCAAGAAGGTTGAGTCACCTTTCATGTAGAATAGCTGGCTTTTGTGAATGTACCAGAAGATAGTAAGAAATAGGGGCAATAGTATCAAGTTACATTAAATACGAATCTATTGTATGTGCTTAAGAGTTAGTCTGTATGTCACACTCCTAATATTCTAAGGAGCCAAAAGGAGCCAAAAAAAGTATTCATGCTTTGCCTGTAGCACTGAGATAGAGATAGACAGAAAATTCCTCATATTTTGCCTGTAGCACAGATATATCTATATCTCTCTCTAGATAGATAGATACAAGATTTGAGAACTTGAGTACTGATCCTTCATATGTGCTTTTAAAAATTAGCAGTATCTGGGGGCGCCTGGGTGGCTCAGTCGTTAAGCGTCTGCCTTCGGCTCAGGTCATGATCCCAGGGTCCTGGGATCGAGCCCCGCATCAGGCTCCCTGCTCCGCGGGAAGCCTGCTTCTCCTTCTCCCACACCCCTTGCTTGTGTTCCCTCTCTCACTGTGTCTCGCTCTGTCAAAAAACAAAATCTTTAAAAAAAATAAATAAAAGTAAAAAAAATAAAAATTAGCAGTATCTGGCATGAGTAATTAAATGTATTCATTGTTTTTTTCAAAGGGGGCGAGCCTAAACAGGAAGTATAACAGGAAGACTGGCAGGTTCTGCTTTTGTCTTTTTAGTATCTTCTGATAGTACCATTTCCTGCTAAGTATGTTTGCTTGCTGCAGAGTATTGAAACACTACTGTGCATGGTGGTCCCATTCACAAAGGGAGTGGAGTGAGCCCCTTTGGACCATCCTGTCACACTGGTGTTCTTCTTGGAGCTTTCCCCCTCACAGACAACTAGGACGCGGTCAGAAATGTTTTACGGAAATGGCTTGAAATGGGCGTTTGGGGGGCAAGGGCTGCGTTCCTGCAGAGCTGCTGCCGACAGGCTCTGCCTCCCTGGGTCTGTGCCCCCATAAAAGGACTATCCCTGTGAGCCTTACGGAGGTGCCCGCTGGAGTGTGTTTGCAAAGGCTGAAGTCTGTGTGAAATCCGGTTCTCTGTGTGGTTCCTTCTCCGATCAGAGATGTGCAGCGGGACGGGGGCTTCACGGCAGCTTGTTTTACAGCTGTCTGGAGTGCTCTCTGCACTCCTCGTTGTAATTGCTTGTCTAAAACGATAGGTGGGGGAAAGCAAGAACTCGTGTTCCTTCTTAGTACCCTGGTGTAGTTGTTTCCTGCAGCCATCCCGGAAATACCGGGAGCTCCAACTTCCCCATGTTGTTGAACATGGAAAAGTCACACTTGAGAAAACAACTGGTCATCACTTGACCACAAACTTCACCAAACACTGTTCTTAGGAAATATACATTATGATTCGACATAATGAGGAGTCTTAAGTAGATGTGTTCCTTAACTTCCAAGTGTCAAAAAACTGGCCTTTGTCCTTCCAGAGTGTCCATCTTGCAACCGAAGCACCGTGCACACACACTAAATTTTGGGGAATTGGTTTTGTTTCATTTCCCGCGTCCTTTGTAACTAGGGTAGTTGGCTTTGCCGGCAGCATGCAAATGGTTAAGCCTGTCTTAAGGAAACCAGCAGCCTCAGCCCTCCCTCCTTCCCTTTCTCAACCAGTCCCTGGCTTCCTCTTATGGTCTCTCTGATGGCAACTTGAAGCTGCTGAGCTCTGCCCTGTGGGCATGAGCCCCTCCTCCTGTGAGAGCACATTTCCTGGCATGGGGGTCGAATCATGTCGGTAAAATGGGGTCGGTTTCCTGAAGTACCCCTCATAACAGTGAAATTCATAGGACACGGGGAGGTAAGAGTCTGACTTCTTTAGAGCACTAAATTCTAATAAACAGAGACAATGGGAGTTTATTGTTTTGCGTTTATCCTTGGAAGGACTAGTTGGGCTAATTGCAAAGGACGAGGGTATTATTTATTATTTAATTGGATTTGATGAGTATTGCGAGGCTTGAGAGAATGTTAGTTGCCATAGAAGATTTTTTTTCAGCTCTTGGAGCATGCTTTAGCTTTCGTAAGCAAAGAGGCAGATGCTTTTCGGTTTAACGTTTGTGCACAGAAAAGCCTGCAGCAAGATTTAGTTAAGAGAGAAATTACTTGAAAAAATTCCACTTGTTATTGATGGTTATTAGAAGATTACGTTCTGTAGCGGTTACTGATTGTCACAACAGTTTCCTGTTTGTAAAGTGAAATACTTTGTTTTTTTTCCCTCTCTCCTTAGTTTTTACAGTTCTAAAGTGTAACAGTTCAGTTCTTAGATTTTTATTATACGTGTTCAGTTAACCAAGGGCTGTACATGAATCAGACTTGGCCAGCACTCGCCGGTTCAGTATAGCCGATGGGCTCTGAATTAGGATGTCGGGAGACCAGGGTTGTGATGTTGACTGCCAGTCACTTGCCGAGTGACCCTTTGTGAGTCAGTACACGTCTCCAGCTGCTGGTGACAGAGTGTCGTGAATGAGCGCACAGCTGTGGAGTCAGCCAATCTGGATCTTACTTCCAGCCTGCGCAGTTACTGGCATGTGGCCTCAGATTCACTCTTCAACATCCCTGAGTCTCCTCAAACATGCTGTGAAGATCATAACTAGTACTTCACTGGGTTGTTAGGAGAAAATACGCCTAAGTCGCCTGCTGTCGTGCTTGGCACATAGCAGCTGTTGAGAGTTGGAGCTGGTATTTATCATCTTTATCTTCTCAGTTGTACAACGGGAAGCGTGATGCCTACCCTTCCTGCTTCAGAATTATGGAGTCAGGTGCAGTCACATACGTAGAAGGCGTTGATTCCACATGTAAGGCATTTAGTAGTTGTCATGATCACAAACTTTGGGGTGCCCATGTTGCAGGAATTTTTTTTAGATGACAACAATGGTATGTGTGTATGTGGGGGACAGTTAATACTTCCGGCTAGAGGGAGTTCGAGAGGAACCCTGAGGAATGCTTCCTGCCATCCCATCGTCTTCCCTCTCCCCAGGGCTGATCTGAGAATGGCTGCCGTCTTTTCTGCTCCCTACCTGCAGCTGGCCCTCAGCTCGTTGCTTGCTTCCTCCGTGGGCCAAGCTTGGGCTTGCTGAGGAGGGTTCATAGGCCACCCCAGAGTCCCCTCCTCCCGATCCAGAAGCCTCTTCCCGGGGTTGGTCCTGGGACGTTGTATCCATCGGTGTGAATGCCGCTGAGCAAGCAGCCAACAGGACTGCTTTGCCTGCCTGGTCTTCCCGTAGCATTTCCAGTGTAGCTGGAATGCTCACAACTTAGAAAAACTGTTGTCCAGGACAGTGCTCCTAACTTGCATCCAAAACACTCCCCGCCACCCACTGATGACCCCATGCCACCTGGATGCCCAGGTAAGGGGAGGGCCTTCTGGTGTTCAATCAACTGTTGGTGCTTTTCTTTGGCAGGAAAAGGAAAAAGAGAAAGAGAAAATCAAAGAGAAGGAGAAAGATTTGAAGGAGAAGGAGAAGGACAAGAAGATCGTCAACGGGCACACTTTCAGTTCCATCCCTGTTGTGGGTCCGATCAGCTGTAGCCAGTGCGTGAAGCCCTTCACCAGCAAGGACGCCTACACGTGTGCAGGTAAGCGACCGGCCTCTTCCTGTGAGGCACAGCCCTCTTGGCTCCGGAAAGCTCCTTCCAGGTTTCCCATCCATCCATCCATGTCTCTTTCTGGTGTGTGTGGAGATTGGCCCGTTATGTCTGTCTTAAACATCCTGTGTGTCGTTGATTCCAAATGTAGAACATACAGCCGGTATGTTTTTACAGAGAGCCCCGATTTCTTATATTCTGTTCTGTCGTCCCCAAGCCCCTGCCTGTCCCAGAAGTCTGTGTCAGCATCGAAACAGCCTCCCTTCCTCAAACTCTAAAGCTACGCAGCAGTCCCTCGTCAGGTCCTATATGTGCTCGTTTTTTATTCTGGTACTTTGGCGGATGTTTCAGCCGTTTACCAACATCCGGTCATGGTGACTGCCAAGAGAAGGTTCTTGCACGTGCAGAGATGTCCCATATTGACCTGTAGCTGACTTGCTTCAAACCACCTTAAAGCCAAGTCTGTGAACTGAGCCCGGGTCCTGGTTTTGATAAGATACTGGGCAGAGGATGGCTAGCTTTTTTTGTCAAGGACCACTAGCAGATATCTTAGACTCCGTGGGCTGGATGGTCCCTGCACAGCTACTGAATTCTGCCCTTGTGCAAAAGCAGCCTAGGCGAAACATAGACCAGTGAGCATCGCTAGGGAAACTGGAATTTCATGTGATTTTCATGTGTCATAAAATATTGGTCTTTTTTTTTTCCCCAACCGCTTAAAAAGGTAAAAACCATTGGTAGTGTATGGGCCATACAAAAATAGGCTACGGGCTGGATCTGGCCCACAGACCCTGCTCTAAGGCACTGTGTCTCAGAAACACCTGTCGTTGGATATATAGAAAGTAGTGATATTTGCATGCACACCGAGGTAAATCAGTGCGGCTGTTCGTGGCCAGAGGGACCAGGCTGGAGATCCAGCCACCCCAGCCCAGCCCAGTCACCCAGGAGGGTGAGGTGATTAGCACCGTGTTATACCTATAACCACGTCAGACAAAACAGTGACTGATTCAGATGATCAGGACGTCATGACATTGTCTTGTTTTCAGTCATTGTGTGGAGTATCCCAAGTGATTTGTTACCAAAAATAATTAACTTACTGGAATTTGAAGTTTTTAAAAACTTGTTTGAGCAGATTCAAAGCTACTGCAAAAATGATTTCCACCCACTTGCTTTCTTGAAGAGAAGAGTGGAGTGAAGCTCTCCTGCAGCCCGACTTGTCGCTGTGGCAGCTCTCGTGACTTTCTGAATGATTGGCTTTATCCTCACATTCTTTTAAGATGACTTTTGTGGGTATATTATATCCCAAATGTTGTCTGCAGCCCTGTTTGTTGTACTGTCCTATTTAAAACAAAACAAAACAAAACAAACCCCACCTCGTGGGAAGAGCTCTCATCAAGATCTTTATGCATATCACACACACTTACGTCCTCCTTCCTGCACGTAGCCTCACCAGGAAAGTAAGTGGTAAGTTCTTTGTGACCTCTAGAAAACAAGAGGCCACCACTGTCTGCTACCTCCTGCATGTTTATTTGGGGGCCCAGGTTCTATGAGGCTCTTCCCTGGGACACTAACTAAATGTCCTCTGGTTAGTTTCTTAGCCACTTGACACAGCTCCTTGGTACTGGAATGATGTGGTTGCCCAGGGCCGTAGTCACCAAGTACTTTTTAGTACGTTCATGTATCATTAGTACGTTCTTAACCTACTCACAAGGGGTATATATATTTAATGCAAGAATTACATGCTTGTCCTGTCCTGCACTTAGAAAGAGCTCATTCTGGGAGCACCTGGGGGGCTCATTCAGTTAAGCGTCTGACTCTTGATTTCAGCTCAGGTCACAGTCTCAGGGTTGTGAGATCGAGCCCCGCGTTGGGCTCCGTTCTGGGCATGGAGCCTGCCAAAGATTCCCTCCCCACCCCCCAGTAAAGAAGGAGGTGGGGAGAAAGGAAGGAGAAGAGAGGAGAGGAAGGAAAGAAAGAAAAGAAAGCTCATTATAGGAATAAGAGAAGTCAGATTTGCCATTTTCTTGTTTGCTGGTTATTAGTCTTAATATATTGTCTTAGGTCAGTGGTTTCTTTGCAGGAATTTGTGTAAGCTACTTTTTCATTGTATTTTAGTTGAAACTAAATAGAATCTATAAGCTCACTTCATTGAGCACCTATAAATTTCCACTCATCACAGCATGCTGAAAGTAAGTGAATGAGGACAGGCACCACTGTCCTCTCCCCTTTCGAGTGCCCTTACCTCTAGAAACCTCTAGCACATATAAAGTGAAACTGCCCAACATAAAGGGCCTAGTGAGGCACCGATATATCGTCTACAGTTTAACTCTGTTTCTCTTTAAAGTCAATGTAAATGAAAGTTGTAAAATCTTCCTTCCATATCCCAAAGAATCATTTTGTGTATCCCTCCTGCAAAGTGCCTGTTCTCCATTTGAGGAGCACCTGGCTCAGAGAAAGACAGAAAGACCTCATATTTCTTGATGGGACAGTATGAAATTGATATTCAAAGAATTTCAGTGAAGCGGACTGAATACCTACTTTCTGCTATAAAACAAAAATATTCAATGCAATATATTAAAAAAACAAAATGAACACATAACTGAGCCTACAGAAAGGAAAATCCCTGAAGGAACTCAGAATCAGAGCACTAAAGAGCCTCTCCCTTAGTAGGGAACAGGATATGTGGCTCTAAGGCACATAGTGGGAGCTGGACCTGAGACCCCCGGATAAAACCGAGAGCTTTAGAGACTGCAACATCCATACTGAAGGACCTAGAAAAACTCCACCCACCGGCCTTTTAGAAGCAGCAAGGAAATGTGCCTTCTCCCAGGACTCTGAGTGAGAATTCTGCATCATACATGAACCTGGGGTCCAAATTCACACCATCCATACCCCAAACTAAGAAATTTTCACAAGCAGTTGAATGAAATCCCAATCTGAGAATGATAAAACACTAAGGAACCTCTGCTGAAACAAATGCAGACCTGCATCACAGGGTCACATTGACAAAACAGGCTAGCTGGAGGTTCCCACGGGAGGAAAGAAGGTCCTATAAAGCTGAAACTGAGCTTACAATTAAAACTACATGGATGCCTGGGTGACTCAGTCATTTGAGCATCTATCTGACTCTTGATTTCAGCTCAGGTCATGATCTCAGGGTCGTGGGATTGAGCCCCATGTCAGGCTCTGTGCTGGGTGCAGAGCCTGCTTGGGATTCTCTCTCTCCCTCCCCCTTTACCCCTCCCCGCACTCGGGCGCACACTCTCTCTCTCAAATAAATTAAAAAAAATAAAATAAAATACACAGACACCACATAGGGAAGTCAACCACCATGAGGAAGTTAGCAAATGCATAGGGGAAGATGTTGAGGATTATTAAGAGGTTAAAATACATAGAATTTCTAATGAAAGAACAGAACAGCTAAGGGGGTGGATTTGAAAAATAACTGAATAAAATTTCAGGAATAAAAATAGCCCTGGAAGGATCTTCATGGAGATTTTTCAGAAACGTCAGTGTTCTGCACCATCACTGGACCGTTGTGATTTCTGTTTGTTTACGAAGGAGGAAAATGACTTCCACTATGTCACCGGCTTTAGGAAAGGGAGAGCTGGGTGAATGTTCTAGGAACTCTTAAGACTGCAGACTGACTTTATTTTTTACATTTAACTGTCAATAATTATGCACTTGAGTTCCTTATCTTAAATGAAGTTCTTCAACAAAGACCAGTTACCTCTGCAAAGCACTGTGTTTGGTATTGTGATTCATTCAGAAGCCATTGGTCAAGAAATATTTATTGAGGGGCGCCTGGGTGGCTCAGTTGGTTAAGCGACTGCCTTCGGCTCAGGTCATGATCCCAGGGTCCTGGGATCGAGCCCCGCATCGGGCTCCCTGCTCGGCAGGAAGCCTGCTTCTCCCTCTCCCACTCCCCCTGCTTGTGTTCCCTCTCGCCGTCTCTGTCAAATAAATAAAATCTTTAAAAAAATATATATTGAGCAGCAGTATGTACCAGGCACCTTTTTTTTCCAATTGAATATGTTTGACATATAACATTGTGTAAATGTGAGGTGTGCAAACACATTAATTTGATGTGTTCAAATATTGTAATATATTTGCCGTGGTAGCCTTATTTAGCACCTCCGTCACATTACATAATTGTCCTTTCTTTTCAGTGGTTGGAATAACGAGAGGCACGTTTCTCGAGTTGCTTACACAGCGGCTTTTGAGAAGAGTTCTCAAAGTATAAACCTTGGTACCTACTCAGTGCAGCATTATTTGTAATGTGGAAGAATTTAAAGGAACTAAATAACCATCAGTAAAATATTGTATATTCATTAGACGTAATTTGGAGCTGATACTAAAAAGAGCAGACCGAGGGTCAGCCAACTCTTTCTGTGGAGGAGCTGGCAGAAGGTGTGCCGGGCTCTGCAGGGCTTTGTTGTGGCTGCTTGACTCAGCTCCTGGAGCACGGCAGCAGCCCAGGACGAGACCTGTGAGACTCTATTCACAAAATGGATATGGGCTGAATTCAGCCCCCAGACCACAGTTCACCAGCCTCTGGGATACCTCTGCCGACACAGATCTCCAAGACACTTTGATAGGTTGAAAAGGCAGCAAGTAGAACTGTATGGATGATCTGAATTTACAGAAACCAAGTGAGCAGTCACTGTTTATATAAATATGCAAGGGTATTTAAAAGGACATGCCCCACACTGTTAACGATTTAAAGGAAGAGATGAGGAGAGATCAGGGAGATTTAAGTTTTTATTTTATTCTCCTGTCTTGCTTGAGTCTTTTAAGATTGTACATATATATATATATATATATATATATTTTTAAGATTTTATTTATTTGACAGAGAGAGACACAGCGAGAGAGGGAACACAAGCAGGGGGAGTGGGAGAGGGAGAAGCAGGCTTCCGGCCAAGCAGGGAGCCCGATGCGGGGCTCTGATCCCAGGACCCTGGGATCATGACCTGAGCCGAAGGCAGACGCTTAACGACAGAGCCACCCAGGCACCCCAAGATTGTACTTACATATTGTTGGTATGAGCAAAAACGAAATGTAAACCTTGGATCACTGATAACTTTAAAGGTTTTTCTGGAGCTTTGCGCGGTGGCAGTATCGTAAACAATGAGGTTTATCCGAGGCGCGATTATTGCTAAAAGTTTTTCTCGTTGTCAGCTGGTCTCTGATGAAAGAGCAAAATATGTTGATATTTGACTCAAGAACTTCATGGACAAAGAGCAAACTGATACCAGAAAACAATCATCTTGACAAAAGACGAGAGTTGCACCAGACAGCACCAGCTTTAGTAAGAAGCAATGTAGTTGCTTCTACCAACTCGGTGCTAAAATGTGATGTGAAATAGTATCAGGAGAGTTAGGGACAAAAGAGATGGAAAATCTTTTTTGAAGACCCAGAGAATCTTCTCCTTTGTGCTGTAGGGAACAGTGAGAACCATTGGTTTCTGGTTATAGTAGATGGATGACTCCTGTCATGACTGGCTCCAGACAACTTTTCAATTTAAATTCAGATTGGAAAAGGTTGTCTAGTTTATGTTCAGTAAATGTCTTCTCTTCCACTGCCATTGATTTTTATATATACATTGTTTCTAGGTGAAAACAGTTGAATTTTATTCTCCTTGGCTATATTAATTCTTAGCCTACATTAGACTATAATGACTCAGAATTAAACCTGCATGGGATTGATTTGTCAGATAGCAAAAAATATCTGCTGTAATGTAGGAGAATGCACTTCTTTTAACCACAGGCATCTTGAGCCCTTTTTTGTTTTCTTGATACCTCTTCCTGTTAAACATAAATGGAACTTCTCTTTTGCTGGGCTCCCTCCATGAGGAAGCATAGCCGGTCTTCCTAGACTGTAGAACTGCTCACGCTGTTGGAATAGTGTGCACTAGGATTTCCCCTGGAGAGGGGGATCTGGGGATACCTCTTGGAAACTTCTGTGGCCCAAGGATACCAGAGGAACCCATGAAGAATCACTTGTGTGGGTTCTGGTACTAACGAAAAACTAAATGTAGGAGGTTTGAGACTCGTGGACTTAGGTTATCAGCCACAAGTCTGTGTAGTAATTAAATAGTTTGATAGAGCAGTGGTTTTCAGAATGTTTTTTGTGGAACTGTTTTGGAAGCTCTACGGATTTTTGAATATATACATGTATATATTTTTGAACTAATTGTAAAGCCACATTAAAAATCCACATGCTCAAAAATATAACCAGATTTTAACATCAGCATATTAACTTCAGCTATCAGCCTACCTGTTTGCATTTTGCCTCCTATCTCTAATTAATTAAAGAATATAATGTGATTGCAAAGAAAGCCAATTTTTTTTTTTTAAAGATTTTATTTATTTGACAGAGAGAGACACAGCGAGAGAGAGAGAACACAAGCAGGGGGAGCGGGAGAGGGAGAAGCAGGCTTCCCGCCGAGCGGGGAGCCCGATGCGGGGCTCGATCCCAGGACCCTGGGATCATGACCTGAGCCGAAGGTAGACGCTTAACGACGGAGCCACCCAGGTGCCCCGAAAGCCAATTTTTAACCTGCTAATATTTGGAATCTACTTATCTGTGTGACTTATCCTCTATATTGTGTACGCAAAACAAAATACAGGAGTAATTTAGATGCCGAGGTAGTTAACATAAATTGCAACTGTCCTAGGCATCTCTGATTTCTGATTCTTAGATCCATTAAAGCAACTTTATTGTCTTCATTTACTAACTTTAAAAGTAAATGTTAAAATTGTAACTCAAAAATCCATCCTAAATATTTTACATATTTGATGTCCCGTATAACAGTATTTCACTCAAGACCTTTTAAAGGAGGAAACCAATAAAATACCAGATTGGCTACTCGATTTATGTAACAGTGTTTATAATGGGATGGAACTTTTCTGGATGGAATTGTGTGGCTTAACCGTTTCTTCTGGAAGCAGTATTTCATGGAGTCTAGCATGTCATCACTGGTGTCTTTTCTGTTTGGAGGTCTGTCAGAAGGGAAGTATCAGAACTTCCTCAGCCAGGGGTTCTTTGTATATGGCAATAGCTTGATCCAGCAAAAATGTCACAGATTATGTTAGTTCTCCCTGCTCTGCAAAAACAAGAGAAAAGAATAATATTTTTGAAGTTTAAACTGAAAGAATCAGAGAGCAAAAAGGAATAGTTTGAGAGGGCCTGATTGTTACCCTCATCTGCACCTAAGGTTCAAAAATCCCTGTTTAATTTGCATACCACCCCACCTCAGAAACTGCAGGCCTCGCTCCCTGCCTCCCCTGAAGCTTTGCACTCAGCCCTGGGGGAGTGTTGAAATAGGCTCAGCATTTGGTGGTGGCATTAAGATGTGTGTATGACAGTGTGCAGCCTGCCACTAATTAAAAAAAAAAAAGAAATCAAGGCTTGAAAGCGAAGGAACAATGTGTAGTCATTTTCCCAAAGGAGCAGAAGCAATCGGCTGATTCTCTTCAGCTTCCTGAAGAACAGAGCCTGCAATGAATGTTTATGTGTGTGAAGCACCATCTGTTATCTTTGCAGGAAGTGGAAAATATGAGTAATTTGGAGATTCAGGATCTTTTTTTCCCTTTTCTCCATCCCCTCCCATGTTCAGGATCTTCCCAGGAGTCTCAGGAAATGTAACATCCCTCCAGTTAGTCACTTACCCTCCTGGTAGCTTTCCTTTTCAGTTTTCATAACATAACCCTCCATGGCTGACTCCTGGAGCCTCACACCCAAGTGCCTGCTCAGTCAGGTTTGAGTCGTGGTTTGGGAAGATCAGCCACTGATGGATGATGGTGGCTGATACTGATGGGCACCAGTCTTCCAAACGTCATTAGTCCCTTTAATGTATCCCTCTGCGTGCATATACTAAACCATTCAGCAGGATAGAGCATTTCAAAACCCATCAGCATCTCTTGACTCCACTGGAATACACCTGGACTAGTCTGAAGTAAGTCATAATTCTGGATGAAAGCTTGAATCCCTTTATGTGGACTTGCATGGAAATGGTCCTGATTACAGACACTGGAAACAGCAAGGCGCAAAGCCTCCATATGGTTTCTTTGCAGCCTGCTGGGGGGCGTGGGAGGTGGGGAACAAACCTCGAAAGCCAAGACTGAAGCCCCCTGCCAGGACTGCTTCGAAGTACCTTAATTTAGGAGAAACCTGGCAGGTCTTTTTTTCAGCCATAATTCGATTCGTTTTAGGATTAGGTCACTTCAGTGGGGAAAGGAAAGAGTGTCTCTCCAATTCTTATTTCTTCAGCTATGTAAAGCTTCCCTTGAAAAATCAGCTGTTCTTTCCAGCTGCCACAAATAATTTGGTCTTTGGAATGCATGGTGGAGTCCTTCAGAGCAAGGAATTCCTTATGTTTGGGTTTCAGGTCTTGTCAGGGGTTCTGTTTTATTTGCTTTAAACAGATGTAAGATGATCTTGAGATTACTGTTGATTTATTTTCTGTTGTGTTAGCAGCTTCTGAGTACTTTTGTGGTTGGTTGTTTCTCTTGATTAAAAGAATAAACAAGCAGATCAGCTGCAATCTAAAGAGGAACCAGGAGAGTGTTCAGAACGTGTGTGATGGTCAGATTTTGCTTTGGATTTTATCTGAGAAGGCAGCTCTCCAGATGCTGGTTTCTGATGTGTAGAGTTCATTGCTTAAATTAGATAGTAAAATACACATAATCGATTAAAGAAAAGACATGGGTCGTTTAGGGAAAAGGGAGGTAAAAGAAGAGCCTCATCCGTGAAGTTGGTTCCCAAGCAGGGCACTTTTGTTCTCTTGCATTTTGTTTACCGGCATTCTTAGGAGCACTTACCAGTGCTTGTTACATGAGCACTTCAGCTAAGATGTTGGTGCTCTTTTCTGTGGCTTTCCTCCTGTTCTGTGCATCAGCTCTGTGGTTATTACACCACACCAGCTACAAAGAACATTTTATGTGCCTTGTAGCTAATAAGCTCTATCAGTCCAAGACCACGATGTTTCACACTCCCCAGAGATTTTAAACAAAATAAGTTGCAGAAAGAATTTTGGAGCATGTATTTCTACATTGCTCATACTAACTGGTTTGTTGTTGTTTCCATTGTCACTTGTTTTAGTTTTAGTTTTAGTTTCTAGGTTGAAATGATAGGAAGCAGTTGTACTTTTCTATCCTTAAAGGTAACGCTTCAGCCTGTTGCTTGAGAAGGATCAGAGCATTTTCCCTGGATCAGTTTTGCTGCCTCGATGTGGCTCGGCTAGGCAGGATTCCGGGCATGTCCCTAAGGGTGATCAGTGACTCAGGATGGGAAGTTCCCTCTCTTCAGAACTCCGCTCGAGAAGGTGAATCCTCCCTTTCATAGCAGTCCTGTGATTCCAGTTCCATTCGGCAGGGCCGTTCTTCTTACCCTTCTATAAAGCAGACTTTCGGAGTTTCTTACCAGTTGTTGTTTGTTTTTCTGCTGAAAGAGAAACAACGTGTAGTATATAACAGCCCACCACAGATCTGTGGCGGTTGGTGGCAGAGGTTTAAAAAAAAAAAAAAAAAGGCAGCAACAGATAGATGATATTTCCCAGTTATGTGGGTTTTCCTTCATATTCTTTTGTCTGATGCCTCCTTGTAGTGAAAAAAAGAAATTGTTGAAGGCTGGACTGTTTGTGTTTAAATTCAGAGGAATCTAATTAGGAGCCGGCTCTGTTCTCATAAACCACTGTGCTGAGACCTTTTTGAATAGCTTTGAAAAATGAAAGCATGTTGCTTACTGCTATTAGGAAATTTTTTTTCTTTTAAATAAATAAAAGGCCAAATAATTCTTTGATCTCCCTAACAACATGGTATGGTTTGAGGCAGTGAGCTTAACGTGTATTAGATTTGTCTTTGGTTCTTCTGTTCTTGGTAATTGTCTGTGTTCCAGAACCGAGAATAAGATTTTAACCTCGTGACTCTGGCTGATGTCAGTGGGGCCAGAGTTTCTAAACCTCTCCCACACACCACTAAAACTGTGGCTGCGAACAGTCTGGGACAACTTGGTAACAGGCTGAGTGTTTTTCAAGTAGGTACTTGAGTATGTTAGGCAGGCATCCACACAAATTACTTATCACTGAGACTCGTGACCCTGTTACAGAGCATATTAAAATTTCAGCTGGGTTAGAGGTTTGGGGACCTGTCTCAGCTAACTAAGAAAGTGAATTTGTATGAAAAGTTGTTTTTTAGAAGTACATTTTATCATCATATCTGCATGGGTTGATTCATCAGTTGGAGATGTCTGTTAAGTCTCAAATACTGGCCTGAGAACTTGAATATTACTGAAGTCTGTTTCAAAGTGATGGTACCACTTCCTCAAAAATCACCTTTGCTTAATTCTGTGGTGTTAGAACTGACTGGGGAGAAAGGCACAGACAGAATGTACTTCGGAGACAGGACATGCGTGTCCCAATGTACTGACGGGTCTCTTCTAGATCAAAATTAGTGGCAGGTTCTCGGGCAAATCCCACCTCCTCTGTTGCCCATAGATGCCAAAAACATTGATTTTCGTGAAAGAGAAGAAAATGCACTTTTGTAACTGGAATAGAAGACAAGAGAGGCTGATTAAAAAATTGTTTTTAGTTTATCACAACTATGATTGACTTTTTTAAAGGATAAGGGGATGTTTATAAGGAAATCCAAGGAACTTGGAGGATATTAGGATATGATACACTGGGGTTTTGGTTTTTAAATACTAGTGGGAAGTAGTACATGGATAATGTAACAACACCTATGTACTCACCACTCAACATGAAAAAGTAGTAAAATTTGTTATATGGCTTCAGATTATTTTTCAGTCTTGAAGAAATAAACATTACAGTTGAATCCCCGTCTTTCCCTGCCTAATTCTCTTCCTCCCTCCCCAAGGACAAGCACTGTCATTTACTGGGGTGCCTGCCATGCAGATGCCTGGGAGCACGGAGTCCCTCTGTGTATGTAGTCTGTATTTTGTAATTTTATCTCCCACGTAAATGTTTAATTTTTTTGTTTTGAGTTTACATAAATGGTACCTTACCTCATTCTGTAATTTTCTTTATTCTCCTCAACATTAAATCTGGGGGATCCAGAGTATTGCAAATGATCAATCTAGACCATGGACTTCTAACTCTTAAATGGTGTTCCATTTTATGAATATATCAAATCTGTCCCACTACTAAGTCATTTGGGTCATTTCCAGTGTCTCTCTCTATTGTAAGCAGGGCTGCAGGGAACATCCCTGTACACCAAGGGAATTGCTAAGTCATAAAGCGGGCACCTTGTCAACTTAACTATATGTTGCCAAATTACTGTCCAACATGAAGGTACCAGCTTCTAGATCCCTCAGCAGATGCTGAGAGTTCCCGCATCTCCGTTTCTTCACCAGTACCTAGAATAGGCAGACTTTTATTTTATCCAGCCTGGTTGGACACGAAATAGTATTTCTCTGTTGTTCTAGTTTGCATTTCTCTGATTTCTAGAGAGATCAGGCACCGTTTTGTGTTGTGAATGACCTGTTCGTGGTCTGTACAACTTTTCTGTTGCATTGTCTTTTTCTTGTTGTTTTACAGTGAGTCTTAAACACTTTCAAGACTCTGCAATTGTGTGTGGCAGTACATTTAATACCATTTCAAAATGTGTCCGTGATATGGATTCATTAGTTTTCCTCATATGCCTTTATCTTCCACGTTTTAAAGTGTATTTTATTAAGTAGAAGGGAGCCAACGAGAGGTTCTCTTAAGCAAGACTCTGAGAGGGGAGAAGGAGGAATGGGATTAAACGAGGTATTTGAAACAGTTTAGCTGAGCGGGGATTTGTGAAAGACAGAGGAAAGGTGGCAAGGGGAGCTCTGGAGCCTGAAAGAGAGGATGGGTCACCTCGGCCCTTGGAACAGAGGGGCTCCGTGCTCCCAGGCATCTGCATGGCAGGCACCCCGAGTAAAGATAGTGTGCGGATGGGGGAATGCATCTGTCTTACTAGAAAATGACTGTAGGAATTTGTCTCGGCTACTGGGTGGTGTTTCTTGCTGTGGGTCCAGCAGCTTGGAGCTCACCCGCCCACCTCTCCCGCTCTTCAGACATCTAGTGCTTTTTACTGTGGGCCAGGAACTGGGGATAGGGATATAAAAATTGTACGAGACAAAGTGAGACTCCCTCAAGGAGTTTTCTGTCCGGTGGAACAGAGTGGCCAGTCCAGTACCGTGACGGAAGCAGGCGTGGAATTCCAGAAGTGCCGAGGTGGGGAATCTTTTCTTCCCTGGGTGAGCCAGGACTTCATCGAGGTGAGTCCTACCGACCCAGGCAGGGAAAGGGATACAAGCACAAAAGACCGTTTGCTCAGGGCTCACAGGCATGACCACACATGGTGAGGTGCTGGAAGCCAAGTAAGAAATTTGAGCTTTATCCTAAAGATGACCGGGAGCTATTGAAGAGTTTCTGGGAGGTGAGAGGCAAAAAAATGTTAAATACAAACCAATAAAGACATATGGTCCAGCCTACCTATTGGCTCTTTGGCCCTTCCTAGAAGACTGTTGGCTAGAGAGGCTTCGCTGGGGTCTGCGTCCTGGAGTAGGCGTTACGTGGCATGACACAGAAGGCCTAGCCACACTGACCTCTCAGGAGTTACACGGATTCCTGTTTGTGGTTCTGCTTTTTCTCTTGGTAGTAAAACAGTGACTTCTTTATCAAAGCTGATCCTTATTTTCAAGTCACAGAGAACTGGACAAATTAATGAGAGCCAGTGGTTTCCGGTTCTTTAGAGAAACATCCTCAAAATGTTTACATTTACGTTTACTGATTAGAATGAGTCACTCCCCAGGGGTCTCTTTCTGTGAAGGCCTCCTTATGCCCAGACAGGGACATTGCTGAGAAACCCCAGCAATTCCTGTTCAGTGGTACATAACCTCTCTCTCACTGCCGACTTCTAGAGCAGCTCACGACTTACGTGGAGCTGACCATAGGCGGTAGAAATGACAAGGAGCATGGCCTCCAAGTCACTCCCTTGCCATCTGCTCTTGGAGAAGAACTCGGGCGGGGCAGGAACAGAGTTTGGACGGAATTAAAACCTTCCAGGTTTTTCCTCTTGATGCCGACGTGAGCCTTTCCCAGCAGAGCCTCACCTCATCCTGCCGTTAGTAAAGGAACTTAGATGTCTCTTCCGGTTTGTTAACAGAAAGGTGACCAGACAGTGACTGTCACGGGGGTGGAGCCAGAAGAGGTTGGCTGGCTGGGGGCAGAAGCAGGCCTAGGAGTGAAAGTCCCCGAACCAAGCCTCATCCCACCCCCAGGACTGCAGACTGGTTCCGACGGTGGGCCATCCTGTTGACAAAAGCAGACGTGCTCCTCATAGCCTCCTGGGTGCTGGTGGCCTCTGTCCAGACTCCTCCAGTTGAGGCCCTTCCCTGACCGTAACCTACGGAGTGGCTGGAGCTACCCGAGTGATAATTCAGATGACGCAGAAGTTGAAATCTTTGGCTGCATGAACCTGGTGGGACGGTCCATGGGATTTACTTTGGAAAATTATCCCTTTCTTAAGAGGTGTGAAGAGTCTTACGGAATCACAGGCTGAAGGAACTTGGCGGCGGGGAGTGTGGACCCACCTCTCATTTACTAGGTGGGGAAAGGCCCTAAGGAAAGACTTGCATGGGTCAGACTAACTAGCAGAGCCAGGACTGAAATCAGATGTGATTGCACAGCGGCTCTTCCTGTGCTCCCGCTAGTGTTAATAAGTTGGCATCTCACATTTTATAATCAATGTTGTATCAGGGCACTTGGCCTTTGATAAAAAAGACCTAGTTAGGGTGTAAGCTAGACATTTGAATAGGAGCCACGAGCCGGGCACTGTGCTAGAGAGACGTAAAGATTCAGCAGGAGATGTAGCACTCTGTGGAGGAGAAAACCGTAAGACCATCACAGCACCGCGTAGCAGGCGGTGCTAGGGGCCCGGGAACCGAGTAGGCGTTGCAGGAGCAGCTGTTGAGGAAGGGCCTGTGGGAATGGGCCTCTGGCGCCTGGGGTTTTGGCAGCCTCCATTCTAGTGCCCTGTCCTCGCCATCGTTGCTCCCCTCTCCCCACATCCACACGTGTGCACCAGGAGAGCGTCTCGGCCCACAGTGAGTGAGTTGACGCGGGCAGGACCTGCGGTGCTGCCTGTTGAATGGTGTCTGGTTGATTTTCTCAGGGAGCCTTCCCCTGGAGAGGCTCTCGTCACTGGGTGTCCCCACAGACCCATCTTTTATTTGCTTCTGCTTCCCCTCTGGCCTGGCGCAGTTCTGTTTTATGACTTCATAGCAGCAGTAAGAGCTGACAGCAGCCCTTCTGAGGCCCAGAGGGCTGGGTTTTTACATCAGTGGCTTTGGAGCCAAGGGCTGAGGTTCGTGTCCTTGGCAGATGTGGTCTCCCCTCCGTCTTTCAGGAAGTCTCCCACTTTATCCTGAGTCAGGATTCCCAGATGTGCCTGGGTTGGTTCTGATGACCTTTCTTTTGCGTCTCCCGACTCCGGCTGGGTGGCAGAAAGCTCAAGGTGGTTAAGATCCCAAGCAGAAGGACATAAACAGGTGTCTTTTGACACGGCCATACAGATTTCCCGAGTCCTGGTAAGGGGCTCTATTGCGGGATTTGTTTGTGACTTCAGCTTCACATGTTGACAGCAGACACTTTTACTTTCCGTTTTGCTTGGTAGCCTCTCAGCTTCCTGCCTGAGAAGCTCCAGACTTCTCGTTTCCGCTAATCAGAAATCACATCTGCTCTCATTTTTGCTCCTCCCCATGACATCACACGCCTGCTTTCTGGAAGGGGACGGCAGTCTGTAATCCCAGTTAGAGCCACATTCTGACATGCGAGTGACTTCACTCGGGAATCCGCAGGCTGCAGTGGCTGCAGGAAGTCCGAGTCCAAGATCTCTTGGCTGGGTTGAAGTCACCTTGGGCTTTGCTTGCTTTTCAGGTTGCAGTGCTTTTGTCCACAAAGGCTGTAGAGAAAGTCTGGCCTCCTGTGCAAAGGTCAAAATGAAGGTAAGACATTTCTCAGGGTGGGGAGAGTCCTGGTTGGGGTTTTTGTTTATGGTAATCATTTGGTACCAACACTGAGACCAAAACAACCAAACAGTAATTCTTCTCTAAAGCGACCGAGTCTCTTCTTAATTAACACACTTGGGCATCTGTGGCTTTTGGAAAACAAAATGCTTTCAGAACTCCGTGTTAAATACACATTTCTCTGCTTTTCTAGCATCTCGGTGTTGTTGTTAAGGTGGTTTTGTTCAGAGCCACATCTGCAGGCCTGCTCTGCCAGCCACACACCAGCTTTCTCTGGGCCACCCTGAGGGCACCAGGTGTCATTCAGGGACTTTGAGCTGCTGGGGAGCTGAGGAGGGCTGAGGGTTTGACGTGGCTGCCCGGCGGCGCTCGTGTCCACGGGGCACGAAGCAGTTGGCTCTGGTCACGTGACGCAAGAATAGGACACGTGCCGGGCGTGTGGAGGGACCTGCTCTGGGCATGCATGCTGTGCAGTAATGGGCACCGCTTATCAGGCGGCCCTTAAAGAGAGTGGGTTTGGGGACCCACCTTCGAGGTAGCCTCCATGGTTTTCAGTGTTCTAGTCACCCATAAATAAATGTCCTTCTGTCCTTGTCAGAAGAGCACTCTCAGCTGCATCTACACTATGCTCAGCATGCCGTGTGCTGCATTAGTGAGCAAACATTTATGTTACAGCGGCCTCACACTTGAATGAGTGTGCTTTAGAGTCACCTCAGGGACTTGCTAAAAGACCATTTACTGCACCCCTCTCCCCGAGTTGCACACTCTGGGATGGGGCCCAGGACTTTGCATTTCTAGTAAGTTCCCAGATGACGCAGATGCTGCGAGTCTGCACTAGTGTAAGAATGAATCACTTCTGTACCCCAGATCTTAGCAGCCCGTGGGCATAAATTTTGTTTGGCTCTTGAAGTATTTTTTGTTGTTGATGATGCAGTTATTTTTAAAAATCACATTTCCTATCAATAGGGATTTCTAATTTCTCCTAAAACAATTGGAAGATCTCAAAAAAAAAAAAAAGAAAATTGGAAGATCTCACAATCCTGGTTGCTTCCTCTTACCCAGCATTCCCAATTTTCACCTTGCCCTTTTTCCTGTTCTCCATAGTACTTCTCAGCTTCTCAGAGTTTCTATTTAACAGCCTGTATTTACTTACTACATTTATTTTGCGTGGTCTTGCACCTTCCCCCCCACTAGCATGTAAGCACCGAACTTGCCAAGCAGTCTGAAGTCAGGAATGTTTGATCCACTGATAGATCCTAAGCATACAGCATGGACTCTGGAGATCTAGGTCCCTGAATGTTGGGGAGATGGATGGGAAGTGGTAATCCATGGGGTCTGAGTGGCTGCCGCCTCCTCGACAGGATGTGTGTGTTCCCTCCCCACCCCCCAACCTTGCCTCCTTCGCTTGTTGCCTGCCTGACCCTGCAGGCACGGGGTTTGTGATCTGACAGGACTTAGTGCTATTGGGAATGTACTAGGTTCTGTAGAAGGCTGATGATAGAGCTATAGCATCTCCTCTTATAGGAGAACACAGCCTAAAAGGGGGAGTTCATTTTAAAATTGTGTCCACTAATGATTTATCTCCGAGTAATTGGTTCACTCCATAACTTCTCACACACGGTGTTTCTGTCACATGCTACAACAAAAATCTCAACTGAAATTCGTACTTTACTTAAGGACTGTTTAATCCCTTATTAAAACGCCAGTCACTGGACAAACAGGAATGAAAAAAGGCACAGATGCCGCTCTTCAGGACCCTGCATTCTGCTGGGGAAGATGTCAGGCAGTTGGGGACCGTACATGAGGGGGAAACTGTGGAGGTCTGTGCAGGATTCTCAGGGGCGGCCAGGCACTGCCTTGGGGGAGGAGGAAGAAGGTGATGGTTGGCTTTCCCCGGGAGGTGGCTCTCACGTGGTCTTGAAATGGAGGGATACCCTGGGGCGAAGGGCGTTCCAGGCGGGAGAAGCAGCCTCTGCGGGGTCCTGGCACTCGGCGGGTTCAGAGGAGAGCCCGCGGGGGTGGCTGGCGGAATGCTGAGCAACCTGGCCAGGAGGCGGGCTGGAGCTCTCTCCCTGCTCTGGGCTTCTTGAGACCGCACAGAGGAGAAATTGTGGGTGCCGTCCGCGTGTATTTATTTATTCCCTTTTTCCTTCAGCAGCCCAGAGGGAGCCTTCAGGCACAGGACACATCTTCGCTGCCCACAGTCATCATGAGGAGCAAGCGTAAGTCACTCAGCCCTGCTCTCTTCCAGCCCTTTTTGACTCTGGTTCAGGACTTAAACACACTTCTGTAATATTCATCTGTTATTCTTACTCAAGATTTGAGTGTTTATTTTGTGGTAAGTTAGAGGAGGCTGCAGGTGATTGGCCAAAGCCTAATGTTCTACCATCAAACTCCCTTGGAAGGCTTCTAGAATAGTGTGTGTACTGGCTTGAGAGGCAGCCCTGTTGTCTGTCTGTCTAAGCAGGTGATCCCATGCATCTCGAAATTCCTCTTCCATGGGTTGACAGTTGCTTGTTTTTAGCACCTCACGGTTGCACAAAGGAAATGAGATCTTTTTGATTAGTTTAGGGGCACCTCAGTGGCTCAGTCGGTTGAGCGTTTGCCTTTGGCTCAGGTCATGATCTCAGGGTCCTGGGATCGAGCCCCGTATCAGGTTCTCTGCTCAATCAGAGAGTTTGCTTCTCCCTCTGCTCCTCGCCCCTGCGCGCCTGAGTGGAGTAGGGATTGGTTTCAAATGAATAAATAAAGCCTTTTTTAAAAAACTTCTGTTTATAAGCTGTGAAGTAAATAATTCTCTTTTTTCCCCAAGGACTTCAAGTGGTACACAAAATTCAGTAAATCACAGTGTCCCATTCACCAGTGTATGCAAGGCTCCACTTTGGTTTTACTTAATGTTCTCCCTTTTTCATTCCCCATTCCCTTCCTCCTTGCTTCCCCTCCATAGCGCCCACTCTAGTTATTTAACATGTATCTTTCTGATCTGCTCTGTCTTTACACAGATGTTTATATCTGAAAATAACTGTGTGTTGCATTTTTATTAGATATGACTTACACTTCTTCGTTCTTTTTTCTCAATCTGCCATTTTAAGATCTACGCGTGTTTTTATGTATAAGCTGTTATTCCATAATTTAATTATCGGTTCCCCCAAAGATGGATATCTAAGTCATTTCCAACTGCCACTGTAAATAACGCAGTACTGAATATCATCTTAATTGGCTCTACGGGAACCTCCGTGGGACTTACCCTAAGGCAGTGTTTTTCAAAGTGTAGTTCCTGGATCATTAAGAAGTGTGCATTCTTGGGCCCTACTGAGACCTGCTAAATCAGAAGTCCCAGAGGTGGAGCCCTGTGATCTGTGTTTGAATAGATCCTCCAGGTGAGTCTGAATCACACTCAAGCTTGAGAACCACTGCTGCACGGAGTTGCTCTGAGTTCTTCCAGAAGCGTGCAGACTCCCTCTAGATGGATTAGGTCTGCTTATTATCAGTCTTTGCATGTAGATTCCTGTAAGAAAGGTTTCGCCAGACCGACACCCACTTTAATCAGTGATCCAGTCCATTCCAGCATCTCTTACCAGTCTAGTCTTCCTTAAACCTTTTTTCTGGGACATTATCCCTTGCTTCAGAAATCTGTTTTCTTTCACATGAGAGAAAATAACATTTTTTTTTTAATACCTGTTATATGTCAGGTTATGTGTGTTACCTCTGACGCAAGTATTCTCACTCCCGTTTTACACCCTCCGATACAGTTTGGTGGTGAAGAGTACAGATTGTGGATTCAAGTCGTATGGGTTTGGGTCCAGCCCTACCACTCAGTAGCCGTGTGTGACCTTGGGCATTTACTACATCCCCACTCTGTGCTTTATTTTCCTCCTCTGTGAACGGGATGGTAACAGTTTCAGTGGGTGGTTCTCAGGTTTCAATGAGATCACACCCATAAAGAACCTGATAGTAGGCCCTCTTAAGTGTTAGCTTCGGCTACTTTCATCATCCCCACAAATAGGGAAACTGAGGCTCAGATATTATATCACTTGCCTGAGTGGAGTTAGGGATTGGTTTCAAACAAGGGAAAGCTGTTGTTTTCACCCCCCTATCTGTCCTTTAAAAACAAAGTTGTTCTTGGGACGCCTGGCTGGCTCCGTCGGTGTGACTCTTGATCTCGGGGTTGTGAGTCCGAGCCCCACATTGGGTGTGAAGGTTACTTAAAAAATAAAAAAATTAAAAAAAAAAAACCCAGAGTTGTCCTTTATCACTTTTAGGGTTCTGCGTAGCATGACTTCATTCTGCTTCTCCAGCCTTTTCTACTGATTCTTTATATACATCCTCTTTCTTTCTTTCTTTGTTCTCTTCTACTTGTGTTGTACTACGTGATTATTTCTGCCTTCATTCATACAGTTCTCCTCATCACAATGTCCTCTTTTCCTTCCGACTACCCACATCCTTGCCATTCTTCAAGAACCAGCGTCTCTTCCTCCGTTGGATTTTATCCGCTCACTGACCTCCCTCCCAAAACACCGAGGATAGGCCCCAGGCTCTTGGACACTTCAGCACATTCCCTTTTCTGTCGTTGTTCTTATTCCCTGTTGGGGCAGGGCCCACATCTCCTGCTTCTCATGTGCTTCTGCAGGAAGGCTCTGGTCATATGGTAGTTAGCGTGTTTCTGATGTTTTATTGTATCACCTTCTCTAAATAGAATTTGGATTGGAAATTAATGGTTTTATTAATTTTTATTAAGTCAGAAACATCCTGCAATGCCGTGAATGTCATAACAGCTGCCCCAGTCTTATTTCCTCCAGCTCTTGACACTCCTGGGGATAGAGAGATCATGCAGCTCGTGTCTGGGGCACGAGCTCAGTTACGAAGGAAAAATAATTTGGTAGCCAAATGCCAGTGTGACCACTTGAGCATAAAATTAGAGTTTCAGTTTCCTCTCTGGTCATGTTCAGGAGACCTGCACGGTATGAGAACAGCTTAGCTGTGTGAGAGTAAAGTGTTGCATTTTTCTCAGCTGTAAATTAAAGGAATTGGTCAAAATCTGTGTTCTCAAACAACGTGCAGAAGAATCACTTGGGGATCGTAAAATGTGTGGACTCCCAGGTCCCACCCCCAAGGGACGAGAAGGGCTGGGAGTTTGCATATCTCCCACGCACCTCAGATGTGGCTGGATAGGCACTCCCAAAGAACACTGGCCTCTGTTAATCTCTGGTTCCTTTTATCCTTAAAATTCTTCCAATTTTATTTTATTTTACTTTGAGTTATTTTCTGTGTTTAAATATACTATCACCCCATGATTCTTCATCCCCATTGCCTAATCTCCATGCCACCCCACAGCTAACCACTCTTCTTAGTTTTTTATTTATCTTCTTCAAGTTTCTTTATTGAAGTAAAGCAAATACCAATTTGGCTTATTTTTCTTTTTTTTTTTTAAACATGGAAGTCTGTTGTGCACCTTTGTTCTGGGCCTTGATTTTTTTCCCCCCGTTACAATATTATCTTGGAGATCTGCATCAATTCGTGGAGAGTGTACTCATTTTTTTTTAAAGCTACATAGTATTTCAATGTGTGATGTACCATAATTTGTTAATAGATCTTCTTTTGATACTCACTTCTGTCATTGCTCGTATTTTGCTTTGACCAACAATGTTGCATTGAATGACTTTGGACATGATGTCCTTTCAAGCATTACAAGTATATCTTGTAGAATAAACATATCCAGGGTGCCTGACTGGCTCAATTAGTGGAGCCTGAGACTCTTGATCTTGGGGTTGTGAGTTCAAACCCCATCTTGGGAGTAGAGATTACATGAAAAAAAAAAAAGGTAAAAATCTATCCTAAAATGGAAATCTGGATCAAAGAATATAGGCATTTGCAGTTTCAATAGATATTGCCAGATTGTCCTTTGTAGAGTTTTTGTACCCACTTACACTCCCAGGGCAAATCTGTTTTAAAGAAATTTGCTTCTATTTGGCTTTGTCAGATGAGTCACTACTTGTGAGCTTGGATACGTGGTTCAGCCAGTGTCCTCTCTTCCTTTACAGCCTCACAGCCCAAGGAGCGTCCTCGATCCGCAGTCCTCCTGGCGGATGAAGCCACTGCCATTCCCATGTTTGCCAACAGACGGTCCCAGCAGAGTGTCTCACTCTCCAAAAGCGTCTCCATACAGAACATTGCTGGGTAAGTGGGGATTTAAAGATTGCACAGTTGACAGCTAGGTGACAAGAGCTTAATAACCATATCATTTGACAAAGAGATTCTTCTCATTGGGAAAAAGTGTATAAAATAATGACTCGGTGCACAACCAAGTGTTGCAGACGTGGAGAATGGGAATTGCATTTTGATGCACTGTCATGCCCGTCATTTTGTAGCAAGGATCCCCTTTAAACACCATCATCAACCACGTTGTCCTGTGCTTCATTCATGGTCAGCCTCACTTTTAAGGAACCTGAGTTAAAAAAAGATGGTTTTTAGATGAAAATAAGAAGTGAAAATGGAGGGGCCGGGGGGGATGACTTCTTCCTGATTTTTGTTTGTAACCACTTATATTTTCAGATATTACACTTTTCTTTTGGTCAGATGAACCTAGTGTTTCTGCTGCTTTTTATAAATCTCTTTCCCGTGCTTGCATATTGACTCTTGAGTCAGTTTCATGGGAGTGAATAATGGGCCAGTTACGACCATTGGGTCCCCACTCACTCATTTGCATGAAGTTCCTTTTGTGGTCCCTGCAAAAGTTGCTACAGCCCCTGACTGTCAGGCCGCAGCTGTCCCATGGCTGGCACAGGGCTGATTATGATGTTGCTGGCAGTTTTGGGTAATAAGCCTTCTGCTTTCCCATCAAGTAAAGAAGTCATCTCAAATGTAGGACTCAAAACATCTCTTCCACCTCTCTTAACCCTGGGCTGGAACAAAATTCTTAACTAAAGGATGCAAATCTTCTTTTGTCTGTACATCCTAACCTCTGTGCTGGCTAGTGTTTTCTTATTAAAAGTTTCAGGCATTTTTATTTTGTTTTGTCTTTGCATTGTCATTATTCAAAGGCCTTCCTTTCAGAGTTGTTATGGTTTCAAAATTTGTTTGCATTGTGACTTTAAAAAGCTAGTCTTTAAATAAAATGTAAAGCTTTTAATGACTCTGGCTTGCTTTTGTATCCTACCAGAAACATTTACTGGGGGCCTACTGTGCTGGCTGGTGGGTTGGGTTTGAGACAGTCCAGGGAATACAGTTTATTAGAAGTGCTTGGTCTACAGATTATTTAGAGAACAAGGAGATAAAATTAGTGGTTACACAGTGAGTTTCAAATGGAGAAATTTTTTTTTTTTTAAAGATTTTATTTATTTATTTGACAGAGAGATAGAGAACACAAGTAGGCAGAGGGAGAGGGAGAAGCAGGCTCCCCGCCAAGCAGGGAGCCGGATGCAGGACTTGATCCGGGACTCCGGGATCATGACCTGAGCTGAAGGCAGCCGCTTAACCGACTGAGCCACCCAGGCACCCAAATGGAGAAACTTCTTATGTAATGTGTATAGAGTTTAAGGGAAGAGCATTCTCCTTGGTGTACCTATCCTTAAAAAAAAAAAAAAAAAAAAAATTCAATTTTTGAACTTCTTGTTCAAAAAACTCAAGTTTGCAATGATGTTAGATGCTTCTGACCTTCATTAATAGTTTGTGTTGCATGTTGCCGGGTACCTGACATTAAGTAATTTGTCTTCCATCATTTGGTACTTAGAGCCAGCTGTCATTTTTAGAGTTTTTCAGGTTGAGAATGCAGACCATGGTTTATCAAAATGTGTTTGAGTAGGTGCTTCTTTTTGTCCCCAGAGTTGGAAATGACGAGAACATATCAAACACCTGGAAATTCCTGTCTCATTCAACAGACTCACTAAATAAAATCAGCAAGGTCAATGAGTCAACAGAGTCACTAACTGACGAGGGTAAGAGGAAATGATGGCCGTGTCTTACACATCTGTGGAGACTGGGTGCCGTTCCCTGAATATAATTGTTAATGGAATAATAGTACCTGCCTCTTCCTTACTCCTGTGAAGGTTCTCTGACCTGTCTCTAAAACATCAAACGCTTTATAATGAATTGGTAATCAGACTTATCCAGTTGTTAGGTAGTTGTCCATTGAGGGATGTCATTGACTTTCATGTGGTCATTCTCTAGTACAAACACTTGTCCTTCATCTGGACTTCTGGTACGTGGTCAGTTGTAGCTCTCTCGGCAGGTTGTAAGCCTACTGTCTTCAACAAGTAAAGTTACCAGGTCCTTCTCAATTCCTTATTCACATAGGAATCCTGAATCTCAGTCACATTTGATTTATGTGATATTTATCACTCTTTTCCAGAGTTGTGAATGTGGAGTGTGTCACTCCCAAACAGGAAGTGATTTTTCTCTGGTACTAGACTATGCGTTCTGGGAATATTCCCTGTGTCAATGCCATGTTTATGTCTTATGAAGTTATCACCCGAGGAGAGTCCAATGTAGGCTTTCTAGAGCTCACAGACCCCAGATTCTGATCTTGATCTTTTGATATTTTGAGGAGTAGGTACAGACATGAATGAAGGACAGCTAATGGGGGACTTCGAGATGGAATCCAAACAACTAGAAGCCGAGTCCTGGAGTCGCATAGTGGACAGCAAGTTTCTGAAACAGCAAAAGAAAGATGTGGTCAAACGGCAAGAAGTGATTTATGGTGAGACTCTCCATTTGCTCTGCTAATACTTGGTTTGCATTGTGCAGCATTTTTTATCGGGAATCACTAGACCATGGAAAGCCAATTTTCAAGTATGTAGCATGTCAGAGATTTTCTTTAAAAACTTTGAGGTCTAGAGACAGGATCTTATATCTATTCTTTTCTCTTTAAAATTGTTTCCTTTAATTTTATTGAACGTTTTATTGACTGTGAGTGCTTATTTACGCAGCCGCCCTAGAGAGAGATCTCTTGTGACGGTACAGTTTGATTCCTCAGCTACACTGGAAACCAAGCATGAGTCATTTCTAGGAAATGGGACACAGTAAGTTCTGAAAGGCTCTGAATCCAACGAAGACCACTTGGGAAACCACCATTTAAGAGTGATGGATTCCAGTATGCTGTCAGAAAACAATGTTAGGTCACGTGAAATAGAGGAATAAGATGAGAACACTTAAGGGGAAAGACAGCTGTTGACCTGGTTTTTAAGTTTAAATTGTGCTCTAAACAGCTTTAAGACTAAAGTGGGCTCTAAATGGCCACGGATGACCTTTGAAGGAGAACGCTTTAAAGGAACGTTCCTGACCGTTAAGCTTTGTCCTCCTTCAGAGTTGATGCAGACAGAGTTGCACCACATCCGGACGCTGAAGATCATGAGCGACGTGTACAGCCGGGGGATGATGACGGAGCTGCTTTTTGAGCAGCAGACGGTGGAGAAGCTCTTCCCCTGTTTGGATGAGCTGATCAGTATCCATAGCCAGTTCTTTCAGAGGATCCTGGAGCGGAAGAAGGAATCTCTGGTGGATAAAAGTGAAAAGAACTTTCTCATCAAGAGGATGGGAGATGTGCTTGTAAATCAGGTGAGCAACGAGAAGGATCTTTCCCAAAAAATGGGGTAAAAAGTGAAGCTTTAGGGTTCAGCAGCCACTCATTCACATCCTGGCTGTACTATTCGTTATGTTTGTAAACTTAGGCAAGTTATTGAATCTCTGAGCATCCAGTTTCCTTTTCTGTAAATGAGGACAGATTTTCTCTAACACCGTGGTTTTTTTGTTTTGTTTTGTTTTTAAAGATTTTATTTATTTATTTGAGAGAGGGCACAGGAGAGGGGGGAGGGTCAGAGGGAGAAGCAGACTCCCCGCCGAGCAGGGAGCCCGATGCGGGACTCAATCCCGGGACTCCAGGATCATGACCTGAGCCGAAGGCAGTTGCTCAACCGACTGAGCCACCCAGGCGCCCCATCTAACACCGTTTTTTAAAACTAAAAGGAATGTATACATAAAATGCCTAGTGTATATGGTAGATACTCAGTAAAAGTCCATTTTCCTTTCTCAGCATCCAGACTGTCATCAGAAACAGGGTAGTTTAAGAAATCAAAAGCTATCTGTTGGAATCTCAACGGCCCCCTGTGCCTCAAATCAAAAAGGAACTCATTTATCTGAAAACCAACTGAGCATAGAAAATTGAATAAGAACCTATATAAAATAATTCATAAAATAGATCTTGCTGATATTTTCATCAAGGTGTGGTGTGGTTTCAACTCTACTCCAAAAACAGGCCAGAAGTTATTTTGAAAAAAGCCTTGCTAGTTTAACCTGGACGGACAGATGGGCACAGCGACGCCGGCTGGCTCTTCCCCAGCAGGTCTCTGCCTCGGGCTGGAAGCAGAGACTTCGTTGCTGGAACACTTGCTCGAGAGTGTTGTCCTTCCCTTATATTCTTCAGTCCATACCTCTCGCCTCGTTCACTCATTCCTTTCTCGCCTGTTTACTGGGCATCTAAATCCCAGCTGGAACCACAAAGGTAGACACAGCGTCGACCTGTGCCTCATGGACCCCGTGCTCCCAAGTGAACGTAGGCATGGTAGGAGGTAAATGCACACACAGTGCGGCCCACACCGGAACGCAGCCGTCTGCCGCAAATAGGGCCTCCAAGTGGGAGTGGTCAGCTCTGCAAGTGAGGACATCCCCTCCCAACATTTTCCACGACCCTCTCTCTGCCCTCAGACCCGCCCAGGTGCCTCGTCTGACCTTGACTGGTGTTGTCCACAGCTCACTGTACTCGTGCACCTGGGGATTCATATCTTAGCCCCCCGCCCATGGCGTCCCTTTGTTGGCTCTGTGTGCCAGTTCAAGAGTCACCCTTTTAGAGCACATGCTTCGTGATGGGAGTGGAGCACCTAAACTCTGTGCCTTTTTTTTTTTTTTAATGTTTATGCCTTTAATAAGAGAGTTTCGAAATATAGGAAGCAAAAACTGATCTGCAAGGGAAAATGGACAAATCCACAATTATCATTGGCAATAAACTCTGTGCCTTACCTTCCCCTTTGGTAAAGGGGAAAAGGAAAAGCTAGCTACCCCGAGCCTTTTTTCCAGTTTTTCTGGTAAGGATTGATTTGTGTTGCCTTCAGAGGTTTTTAGTACAGTGGAAATTGATGCTTAGCAAGCATCATATGGACCCCATGTAGAAACGCATTGGTTTACCCCAAAGTGAACATATCTTCAGATGAGCCGTTGAGATTACACACGTTTTAGGAATGATGAAAGGCCACGCAGAATTGTTAGGACTGCTGGCCTGAGGTAGGAGAGGTAAGCAGATCCCTAGGTAAGAATAGCTGTTTCTGACACCTTTCTTAAGACTATCTCAGAGGAAAACTTCTAGTGAGCCTCCTTGTTTTACCACCGTGTTTATGACACATGGAAATTAGAACACATTTTGCATTACTTAAGTGTACAGTACATAGATATTTCTGGGTGGTTGTTTTTTAAAATATATATAACATGTTTAATGAAATAAATGCATAATGCCATATATAAATGTACCCATTGAAAGCATATAACTCAAAAAAAAAAAATACAGCTCAGTGGTCTATATTCACGGAGTTGGACAACTGTCATCACAGTCAATTTTAGAGCATCTTTATCACCCTGTCCCTCAACTGCCTCTACCCTGGGCATCCACTAATCTCCTCTCTGTCTCTGTGGATTTGTCTATTCTGGATTTATTATGTAAATGGGATAAAACAATATAGAGACCTTTGCAGTTGGCTTTTTTCATTTAGAATAATGCTTTCAAGGTTCATCAGTATTGTAATGTATTCATATGCCATCCCTTTTTGTGGCTGAATAATGGTCCATCCTGTGTATCTACCACATTGTATTTATCCTTTAAGGGACATTTGGTTTCTTTCCACTTGGGGGCATTTGTGAATATGGCACCCATGAACTTTCGTATCCAAGTTTTTGTGTGGAGTACGTTTAATGCCTCAGAGCGGAATTGCCGGTCACACAGTAACTGTAGCTTTCCGAGGAACTGCCAGACTATTTTCCAAAGCTGCTGCGCCATTTGAATCTTTAGGGGGAATTCTTGGGGAAGCACTCTTGGATTTTATGAATAGGCTGGAAACTGTATACAAAATGGTGGCAAAATTTTAGCACCCTGAGCTCCGACTTAACGTCTGTTGTCTTTTCTCCACAGTTTTCAGGGGAGAATGCAGAGCGCTTAAAGAAGACGTACGGCAAGTTTTGTGGGCAGCATAACCAGTCTGTGAACTACTTTAAAGACATTTATACCAAGGACAAGCGGTTCCAGGCCTTTGTGAAGGTATTGGTGTGAAACATGGAAATCTGCATGGTTGTCCAGGGCGCTGTTGCTGTCCGTTGAACCAGAACCTTCCTGCAGTAGCTCCTGATAATTTGTTCTGTCCTTTGCAGAAGAAGATGAGCAGCGCTGTTGTGAGGAGGCTGGGAATCCCAGAGTGCATATTGCTGGTGACCCAGCGGATCACCAAATACCCAGTTTTATTCCAAAGAATATTGCAGTGTACCAAAGGTGAGCCCCTCTCCTTACCCAGTCGTGCCTGCCCTCGGACTGTTTCCCGTCTGTCCAGCAGCACAAGGGGCCCCAAGGAAGAGTTCCTTCAGACTCTCACAGGTCTATAAGAGATCCTGTGTTTTGCCTTAAAAACCATTTTCTTGGGGCACCTGGGTGGCTCAGTTGGTTAAGCAATGTGCTCAGCAGGGAGTCTGCTTCTCCCTCTGACCCTCCCCCCTCTCATGTACTCTCTCTCTCTCTCAAATAAATAAAATCTTTAAAATAAAAAAAAAGTTTTCTTAAGTGAAAACTTGAAATGCTGCATCACCATATGCAGGGTGGATGAGAGCAGGAAGGGAAAGAACCACTGACTCCCTCCAGATTCCGCACCCTGAGCATCTTTCTCCCTTACCGCGAGATTGGGTGGTGCTTCCCCCCACTTCTTTCCATGAGTGCTAGACCTGCTGCTTTTTCTCACTTAGCCAGGACTTAGAAGGTTCTCTCTTGGCTAACCCTGCTCCCAGGCAGTTCCGTTAAAGGTGAGGTGGTAAAACAAAGACATAAGTTAAAAAATTATTGCTCCTCTCCCTCCCTGAAATTGTTGGGTCCTTCTCCTTCAGGACATGGTATGGAATTGTGTGTTGTGTCTAGAGTGAGAACATCTAACTTTATTTAGGATTAACCTGGTGACAGGGATCGGCACGTGACCTTTGGTGTGTTGGCTTCACTCTGCCAGACACACTGTCAGCCTGTCCCCAGAGGGAAGATGATGGTGTGGGGCGAGGAAGTAGGTTTCCCCCTCCTTGTCTGAACGGATCCATTAAAAACAGGATTATTCCTTCCTTCCAAGACAATGACGTGGAGCAGGAAGATCTGGCTCAGTCCCTGAGCCTGGTGAAGGATGTGATTGGAGCTGTGGACAGCAAAGTGGCAAGTTATGAAAAGAAAGTGCGTCTCAATGAGATTTATACAAAGACAGACAGCAAGTCGATCATGAGGATGAAGAGCGGCCAGATGTTTGCCAAGGAGGATTTGAAGCGGAAGAAGCTTGTGCGGGACGGGGCTGTGTTTCTGAAGAATGCAGCAGGAAGGTTGAAAGGTAAGGCTCGTTTTTGTCTGAGTCTCTGTGTACCGGACAAAGAGCAAGCAGAATTCAGATGTTTTTGTTAGAAACCTGCCTCCAGGTTTTTCCTAGGGAGCCCATGTCCGTACATCACACAGGAACAACAGTCCTTTAAGTGTTCTTAATTTTGTATCAAAAAGGATGAGGTTGAGGGCACCTGGGTGGCTCGGTCGGTTGGGCGACTGTCTTCGGCTCAGGTCGTGATCCTGGAGTCCCGTGATCGAGTCCCGCATCGGGCTCCCTGCTCGGCGGGGAGACTGCTTCTCCCCCGACCCTCCTCCCTCTCATGCTCTCATTCTCACTCTCAAATAAATAAAATCTTTAAAAAAAAAAAAAAAAAAAAAGGATGAGGTTGAGATAAATTACAAGATCAGAAACTCCTCCAGTAAGATAACAAGGGAATGATGCAGGTAGGGAAATTGGAAAAAAAAAAACTAATTTAAAAATAAAGCAAGGTGGCCCTTCTCGGCACCTACTCCCGGTGGCCCCGAGGGCGTGCGGACCAGGGGCGGCCCCAGAGAGGAGGCGGCAGAGGGGGGCTGGTGTGTGGGTCTTCGTGTTGCGGCGTGGCCCTCGTGTCCAGAATAGGGAGGAGCGGGAGACCACAAGGACAGGCCCAGGAGCAGTGACGTCCAAAGAGGAACAAAAAATCTCATGCCAGCCAGGAAAACGAAAGGAAGGATGAAAAGGAGCAAGTTGCTAATAACGGAGAGCCATTGGCCCTGCCCTGGAAGCCAGTGACTGTGTGTCATGTGCCTCAAGTCAGTCGTCGTCGGTCCCGTTCCGCGGTATAGCTGGGACACGCGTCAGTGGCTCGGAGGGCCACGGGGTGAGGGGGGCGTGTATGGAAAGGCTCAGGAGGAGGTGAGACAGCAGAGGGAAAAGCAGTTCAGCCATCGCCTGCGGGCCCTGAGCACTGCCCCTCCTCACCATGGCCGTGCCGTCATGAGGAGTGTGGCCTAGGCCTCGAATCCTGATGTTTTCCCTCCAGCTCATAGGAAGACACACATGCCTCCTGAACTGAACGTTCTCAGTGCCCCATTGTTGTAAACCTTCTGGTGTTATGTGTCTCTTGTGGCAAGATGCTCATTCTATATTGTGAAGTTCATAATGCTGTTTAAAAAGGAAAAAAAAAAAAGCCAAGTGTAAGATTACTACAAAAACTTGGGCTATTAAAGGAAGGTGTATTCCCCTACAGAAACGGGCAACACATTTGGGGTTGGCGTCTCTGGAAACAGGTGCAAGGAGGGGAAGCCCCATCAGGCAGCAATTCAGAGTCTGTGAGATTAAAAACACATGTTCTGTTCTGAAGAGAGATGGTAGAGGACTTTTCAGCTCCCAAGACCTTAGAGGAAATGTATTTTTAACTCACACCAACTAGATGATTAAAACTTGATGATATTCATCTCTTCTATCTTTCTCTAAGCAAGAGATGATAAAAGATACTAATTTTCCATTTGGCTTTAATTTTTTCTTAAAAAGGATGAGCTACATCAAGTTAAGGAAGTTACTGTGAGGTTTGTTAATTCATCTATACATCTGATTTTTTTTTTTTTTTTTTAATCTGTTTGTTGAACCTGCCCTCTCTAGGCCTGTATAACAGCTCTGACTTGACCAGCAGCCCTGAGCATGCCCCAGCCCGGCCCCGGCCCCTGCAAGCTGCGTGCTCGAGGCAGGCTGGCCCCGTGCCGTCAGCCCCGCTGACGTAAAGCCAAGGCTAGGGATGAAATGTGGGCCTCTCTCCCGTCTCTCATGTGTCAGGAACACTGTAGGCAGCTGCTGCCAGCCAGTGGCCTAGAGTCCAGCTAGCATCTCACCCAGCTTGGACCAAACAGTAAAGACGGCCCAGGTGATCGGTGGGCCTCAAAGGTGAATGAAGCTGACCGCGCCTAGAAGTTGGGCTCCGAACGAAGAGGCCTGTGAAGAGGTGCTTGCCGCACAGTCCGCTGGGTGCTGGAACCAAGAGCTGAACTAAGCAGGGGGAGGCAGTGCGGAGTGGCATGGAGCTAGTGGTGAAGGATGAAGGGCAGGCGCACCCGGCTCTCTGGCAGCAGAGACAGTGGCGGGGAGGGCTGGGGACACGGGCAGAGAGGGGCCTCGTCCAGACGGAGACACGGACAGCTGACACTGTTAATGGGGGTGGGCAAAGAATGGGTTCCAGATGGAGGGTTTCCAGCAAGGAAGGGACACAGTAGATTGTTTTCTAGCACGCAGTGGAGGCAGCGAGGGGCTGCCTTAAAGGACAAGCAGTTCTAGGCCTTTGGGGAGACACTGGCGAAGGACACAGGACCGCCCCGGCTGCAGGGGCCTGAGTTGCCCGGGGGGCATGAAAAGGAAGCACAGGAGCCTTTCAGAGAGAAGAACAGGCCCCTCCTGCCTCCAGCAGATGTGTCTCCCTGCTGCACGGTGAACTTGGACTAGGTGATCCCCAAGGCTCCCTCCGTCCTCCCAGCCCCAGTCCTCTGATGCTCCGAGAAGCCCGGATCAGGACTCTTCCCACACTTGGGAAGCGCCTGCCTCCTCTTGCAAGGTCCTGAATTTCCTAGAGCGGCCGCTGCCTGGAGCCAGCACTTGGTTTTTTCCTGTGCTCGGCGGTTTATTTATCCACTCCCAAACTAGCAACGACTGGATCCCAGCTGTGGGCATGAAGCTGTGGGCCCGCCAGTGGCACGAGACAGTCTCTCTGGCCTGAAGGGCCTCCAGTGCACTTAGGGGCTGGTGGGGAGCCCTTTGCCCTCAGGCAAGCTCGTGCCAGGAACAGCCAGTCCTGCGCTGGGCACCCCTCGAGAGGGCTGGGCTTGTTTTTCTCTGATCCACTGACACTGGTCACAGAAGCGTCAGCATCCCACGAAGTGGAAACTTGTGTTTTGGAACTTTTTTTTTCTTTTTTGGCAGACACCCGAATTATTTACAAGTAAACTTTAAGAAACTTGTCCAAACTAATAGCAGTCCACAGAATAGTCACGCACAGCCTGGTTGGTCTTGGCTGAAAACGGTACCTCCCTAGGAACCAGCTGTGCTTGCTTCTGTTCTCTTCGTAGCTGTGTCGTGAGTTACCAGGGAGGGGCTCCCGGCTGTGGCAGAAGCAGGAGAGAAGGCCCGACCGCCTGGGAGGGGGCTGCATGAGTCCGCTCCATTCTCTCCCCAGGGGCTGTGGGGGTCGATGAGCCTGTTAGCTCTCTGGAGACGCCAGACTTTGTCTCTAGGGGAGTACTGGGAGATGCCACTTCCTGTTCTCCAGCAGAGCGGGAGCTGGTGGCATTTCCTGGATTACTAGATCCAAGTAGAGCTCTCACTTGGCTTTTGTTTGAGTTGAGAGGAAGAGCAGCCTGTGTCTATGGTAGAGGTTGAGGCTGAGTAGGACCTCTTGGAGCTGGGGGACAAGCCGTTGTGTTCGCAGGTACCTGTGGAATGAGAGGGCCTCGTGGAGCCGTTCTGTCCTGCAGGTTGGGGGAAGCCTACCTTTCATTAGACTGAGCTCTTTTGATACATCACCTCTTGGCAGCTCTCCGGTCTGCTCTCCCACGCCTCTCCCAGTATTAGGATCGGAAGTCGAGGAGTATTATGACCTGAGTATTTGGTGGAATATGTTGCTATTACTAGCTGTTAAAGTCCTTCCCAGCTTTATTCTTAAAGTATTTTGTTCTTCAAGTCTCTCCTTATGGGATTATCTTTCCAGAATGGAGTACTCAAGCTTTGTCAAGATAAGGCTTTGGTGATAACTACATTTAAAAATGCCTCTAAAAATGTAATGACCAATATCATTGCAGAAATGTAAATCCATCCATCACCTTGGAGGAGTGGAGAGTACTCTCCCATCCTGACTTGCTCTGTGGGCCGGGTTGCTGAGTTGGCGTCTAACTTGCTTCACTGCTAAGTAATCCTTGTCCTTTCTCTCCTTCCCCACTTACAGAGGTTCAGGCAGTTCTGCTTACTGACATTTTAGTGTTCCTTCAAGAAAAAGACCAGAAATACGTCTTCGCATCACTGGTAAGCTGAACTGTCAGGCTCTTCCATTTGTAACGAATAGTATTTGGAAGAGCCAGCTTAAGTATGGGGTCCGGACGCTGGATTCCTGCTCTCCCACCCTTTCAGCATTACTTTGCTCAGGACAGATTCCTCTGAGTATTTCCTCAGATACTCTTGCAGTTTTCCACCCCACCCCCCAAAAAATTATTTTTCTGTTCCCTCTCAGTCCCTTTGAGAGCCTTGGACGTTTGACCTAAAGAGATCTATCACTGGAGTATTTCTTGCACATTATGCCCCATAAATTGTGCTAATTTGTAATGTTGCCAGCCAGTCACAGAGGAACCTAGAAGGATTCATCATGTAGAAACCATGTCTGAAAACTCTGTGGATATAAATTATCATTTCTTTTTTGGAAATCTTTTTCTGTTTGATAAAATGGAGATGAAATAACGAGATACTTCTCTTTATCTTGAATCTACCGTTGTTTGTTAAACCATACGCTTTTTTTTCCAGTCTTCCTGAGAAATAATTGACATATATCACCATCTAAGGTGTACAGAATAATGATTCGATTTACATATATTATTAAATGATGATCACAAGTTTAGCTAATATTCATCATCTCATGTAGATACAATATAAAGAAAAGAAGGAAGAAATGAAATAGTTGTTATGATAAGAACCCTGAGAATTTGTTTATTTGTACCGAACAATAGAGTTAACCATAGTCCTCGTGTTCACGTTACATTCCTAGAGCTTCTTTATCTCATAGCTGGGAGTTTGTGCCTTTTGACCACCCTCCTCCATCTCATTCCCCCTGCTTACCCCTCCACATCTGGTTACCACAAGTCCGGTCTCTCTTTTTCTGTGAGTTTGGTGTGGGGTTGTTTTGTTTTTTTAGATTCCACACGTGAGTGAGATCATGCATCTGGTCTTGCCTTAGATCAGAGTTGTTCTTGAGAGTTAGAATATTGTATGCCTTTCTTACATCGACCCTCTCCCCTTTTTCCAGGACCAGAAATCAACAGTGATCTCGTTAAAGAAACTGATTGTCAGGGAAGTAGCACATGAGGAGAAAGGTTTATTCTTAATCAGTATGGGGATGAAGGACCCAGAGATGGTGGAAGTGCATGCTAGCTCCAAGGAGGAGCGGAACAGCTGGATTCAGATCGTTCAGGACACGATCAACACCCTGTAAGTCAAACGCCAGGGCCCGTCCCAGCCTCTGTGATTTTTATCCTCGAGGGGGCAGTGACCAGAGTCCTCAACGTCGTGGGGGCTGTTGGTCCATTTTGTTTTGTTTTGGGATTAGGAACAGAGATGAAGATGAAGGAATTCCTAGCGAGAATGAGGAAGAAAAGAGGATGCTGGACACCAAAGCCCGAGAACTGAAAGGTAAGGCTTTGGGAAGCGTCCGCGACCTTGTCCGTGGGGGGAACTGCAAGAGGCTCCCAGGGCGATGCGGCCCCTCGGCTCCAGAGCTGTCCTGGCAGTTTCAGAACAGGGTGGTGAGTGGCTTTTAACGAAAGAGCAACTGAACCTGAGCCGACATGGATCCCAGGTCCCGTAAAACGGCCGTCAGAAGGTGTCCGACACTAGGTCAAGGGGGTACTGGTTCTCTGTTCTCACTTTGTGTTCTTGGACCCTGGTCACATTCTTTGTACTTTGTCACAGAAGAATTTGCTAAAACTCACGGTCATATTCGAGAGTCAGACAGAGAGAAGGGTACTTGAAGAAAAGAATTTTCCGGTTAATGTTCCAGTTACTGTTTTTGTCAGTACCCTGCCGCTACGCTGTGTGTCCACCATGAGTTATAAGGTAGTTCTGGGAGAGGAGTTCTCACCGATTATGCTTGACCTCTGTTTGTTGAGTCCCTGCTGTTCCAGGTAGTCTTGTCAACACCCCTACAAGATATGTTTGCCAGTCCCCATTGTGCAGATGAGAAAGCTGAGGCCCACAAAGGCCACACGGTCCAGGGTCACGTACGTGGAGCGTGTCAGAGGCTTCTTCTCCCCTGCTTTCTAAACGGCAGCGTGGGTGCTCCCCTCTCTTTGCCAGTGCTTATCGAATGTTCCAAAGTAAAGACTGTGCTTTGGGTAGAAATAAGGCCCAGAGTCAAATAAATGTTAGCACCCGAGGAGTTTGGTTAGTCCTTTAAGCTGGACAAAGCAGTAACACTGTGTTTGGCGGTGGGGGGTGGGGAGGCAGATTTAGACGAGATCGGGCGCATTCAGGGTGGTATGGCCGTAGACGGGAGGCAGATTTAGGCTGAAGCCAGAGTTACACCTGATTTATTGGCCCATGGTTAATATGACAGATATGAAAGCTTACTTCTCTTCACATGCATGAAGCCCCCGCCAGGCATACTGCTAAGTGCTGGGGGTGCAGAGATTCCTAAAGCAGCATCCCTGCTGTCAGGGAGCCCCCCGTTAGCAAGGAAGACGTACGGAAATGATGGGACGGGACCGCAGGCACGTCTAAAGGACCAAATCCTGCCTGCGAAGCTGACGCATGAGCTGAGTCTAAAGCAGTTACTGCACCAGACGAGAGAAGCAGTTACTGCACCAGACGAGAGGAGCAGTTAGGGGAAGAGTGAAAGAGGACTTGAGTGTGTGCGATGTCGGTGGGGGGGAGGGTCAGGGCCAAGAGGTGGGGATTTAGCTGGAAAGGCACCAGGGCTTGAACGGCAGCAAGGGAATGATATAATCTGTGTAGAAAATGTCAGTCTAAGTTGTCTTCGTTGGCATTGAAGCCCGTGGGCGAATTGCTTGAGGGAGTAGGGGAGCCACTGGGAGTAGAAAGCGGGACTGGGAGGCTCCTGGAAGAGGGGTGGGTGTGGACGGCAGGGCGGAGCAGGGAGACAGAAGCCCTCCCAGGTCCTCAGCGTGGCCCAGCTGGAGGGTGAAGGTGATGTTGGCTGAAGAAGGGATTACACGCCGGAGGGAGGAGGGGGATGGCAAGAACGGAGAAAAGAGCTTTCTGACAAGCCGAGGACAAGACATCTAAGTAGAGCTAGCCACAGGCTGGTGGGACTCTTGGTCTGGCGCTCAGAAAAGCGGGCAGAATTCGGGCTGCTTTGCCTGAGTCCCCAGCACATGGGAAGTCACTGAAGCCAGGGGAGGGAATATCCCCAGAAGGACGTGTGTGAGGTGTAGGAGGCCACCCAGGATGGAGCTGAGAGGAGGCCCCAGGTATTACTCCACTGCAGATGGCAGGAAGAGAACCAGTGATGTCCTCCAAGTATGTTGGGGGGGGGGGGGACCGATTTAAAAGGAGAGGGGACCAGTTTAAAAGGAGAGGGGAGGGGTGCCTGGGTGGCTCAGTTGGTTAATTGTCCAGTTCTTGATTTCAGCTCAGGTCATGATCTCAGGGTCATGAGATCAAGTACCGTGTCAGGCTCCATGCTCAACGCAGAGTCGGCTGGAGATTCTTTCTCTTCCTCTCCGTCTGCCCCTCCCCCTGCTCATGTAGTGTCTAGATAGATAGATAGATAGATAGATAGATAGATAGATAGATAGAATCTTTTAAAAAAAAAAAAAAAAAGAGGAATCATCCATGCTGGAGAAGATGAAACGTAAGCCTCATTGGATCAGTAATGAAGGGTAGACTTGGAAAGAGCAGATGCAGACGAGAGTGGGTTGAGAAATAAACAGGAGGTAGGGGAGTGGAAACAAAATGCAGGTTTGTTGTGTCAGAAATTCTGATTTTGCCTAGAAAGACGCTGGATGGATTTGCCCCTGCGGTGGAAAGGGGGCTTGGGGGGTGGAGCTGTGTTGTGTGTTGTCCCACCAGTGACCACAAGGTGGCACTCGTGTCCTGGTTCTCTTACTAAACACCAGCCCTTTTCTCCATTCTCCCTGCAGAGCAACTTCAACAGAAGGACCAGCAGATCCTCCTCTTACTGGAAGAGAAGGAGATGATTTTCCGAGACATGGCTGAGTGCAGCACCCCCTTGCCGGAGGATTGCTCCCCAACTCACAGCTCTAGAATCCTCTTCCGCTCCAACACAGAAGAGGCTCTCAAAGGAGGACCTTTAATGAAAAGTGCAATAAATGAGGGTAATTGCCCCTCTTAATCTCTTCCCAAAGTGCTTTATGCACTAACATTACCTACCAAATTTTACTTTTCCATTGTAAAATAAAGTACAGGTACAGAAAACAACCCAAAACGAATATTTTGCTTCATAAATTATTATCAAGGGAACATCCTTGTAACCGCTACCCAGGTCAAGAAATAAGATGTGGCCAGACACCCCAAAGCCCTTCCACACGTTCTGTCCCCATCAAAGCTCCCTCCCTCCTTCCCAAAAGGAACAGGTACTGTGACTTACACGTTTCCATTCAGTTCTATGGCCAGGGTCCTATTTGTAGACACTATAGTCTTGTGTTTTTTTATAGGCCTTTCCAGATTCCTAATTTCCAGGCCTCCCCACCATCCCTTTCTTTTCCACATAATTTATCTTGGAAGAATCTGAGCTTTTTGACCTAAAGTGTCTCTCAGAGTCCAGCTTTCATTCACACAGGGTTTCTGTTCATCTGTCCGCTATGCTAGTTCCTTCAGATTTTGAGCTGGATACGGAGGCTTAATTACTCAGGCTTGATCCCCGTGGTAAGCTGTGTTGTTGGAGTGTTGTGCTCCTTTATCGGAGGCACAAGATAGCTAGCTGTCTCCTTTGTAGTAACATGCAGGAAAAGGAAGATAAAAGGATAGATACTGGATTTTTCCCCCTTTATTTACCAATTATCAGGATAGTGAATTGATCTGTGGTCACCCTCTAAGGGTGACCTGTACTTTTTAGATACTCTTACAGACTCATGAATTTAAACCTATTTGATGGTTTTCAGGTCACTGCAGTGATTATCCATACTAAACATTCAGAATGTCCTCTATTTGCCAACCAGCGCCTCTTTGTTTGGCTTCCAGGTGCTTCTGACCTGACCCCAGGAGTTTCTGAGAGCTTCGTTGCTCTTTGGTATATTAAGATGTTCTAGACTCACTTTGTTTTCTGCCCAGTCTAGAGTCCTTTCTCTAAGGAACTCTTGTATCTTTTAGTGGGAAATGCTTTTTTAAGACCACAATCTGGGCAGCAGGGATGGTCATTGCTGCTGGGTTTTTCGTTTGTCATTTTGGACGTCTGGAGCTCATCTTTTAGTAGCTGTCTCGGGAAAGGCTCGTGAGAACACTGCACCCTGTGTCCTTGCACACTGGTAATAATTTGTGCTGCGTAAAGCTTGGAAGTCTGCTCCATGGGATATGAAATCCTTGGCTCACGTTTTCTTCCCTCGGGTATCTTAATTGCTCTTAAATAATGTTCTTCCTTTTTTTCTGGTGTAAAGCATTCCTGTCAGAGTGCAATCATAGTTTCAGTTCTCCCCCTTGTAAGTCCCATGCTTTCTGCCTAGGCTACTTTTTCAAAATCCAGGTAGTTTTACTAGCATACGCCTTATGTTGGGGTTGTTCTGGGTTGATGTTCTCAAGGTTACAGCGTTCTAATTTGATGTGGTTTCAGAGTTTTCCGATTTCAGAAAAGTATTCTTAAATTATAGCTTTTAGTATTTTTCTCTGCCCTTGTTTGGATTCTCTTCTTCAAGAACTCCCACGATCTGCATGCTGGACCCCCTCTGCCTGTCCTCTGTACGCGTTGCTCTCCTCACGCTTTGTATCTCTTCATCTTTTTCATGTTTAAGTATTCTTCCTTCCACCTTCTGGTAAGTCATTTTCTGTTCAGTTTATTTTGCTCTTATGATCTAGTTTTCCTCTCTAAAATGATAATTTCTCTTTGTTTCCACTCCTTGGCATCTGTGTTTCCTGATTCTACCCTGGGTTCCTCCATGGCCGTGTCCTCCCCTTGCAGTAAGTAGCCCGTCCACTTCATGGACACGTTTCTCTGAGGTGCTGTTATCCCACGCGGGGAGCCATGCCCCTCGTTCTTTCTCTCGCTCTTTTTCCTTAGTGTTGTGTGGGGTTTGACTTGGATGTTTCCCAGTTGCTCATTTTTACATGAAATAAGTTTTCTAAGTTTTTAGGTTCAGATATCTTTTCTCACTTCACAGGACTCTCTGATTGTTTCCATGGAGTGTTTTGTTTTGTGTTTTGTTTTTTTTTTTTTAATACGATGGCTTATCTTCCGAGATTCCCTGCCTCTGTTTCCCTCCATTCCATCTGGCCTCCTCTGTTGCTCCTCTCCAGCTCAAATTTCATTCCACTTTTAGCACTTTCTCCTTTCTGGGGGACACTGCTCTAGAAAAGAAGCCTCGCTGGTCAGATTTGAGAATTCCAATCCTTATACTCCTCTGGTCCCTTGAACTTACTTTGTCAGCGGGAAAAACCCTGCTGGTTTTAGCGCTGCTCTCAGATTGGCCCATCTTACTTGCTAGGGAATTCTTTTTGGCTACTTTGGGTCTGACTCTAGAAGGCCACGCCCCTTCCGGTGAATTACTCTGTCTCCCCGTGCCCTTTCAAATTTCCTAGACCTCATGTAAATAAGGCTGAAGGCTCCATCTGTGAATTCCCAGTAGAATCCAGTTACAACTCATATCCTGAGCTGAGACCTTTCTCTGAGCAAGGGAAGTCACCTCGTCACTCTGGAATTTTCTGATCATGCTCCCTGTACCTGTTGTGTATTTACCATGAGATTTTCCTTTTCTCGGTGGAAGGTGAAATGTCACTTCTGCATGTTTCCTTTTTTCCAGTGGAGATCCTTCAAGGTTTGGTGAGTGGAAGCCTGGGAGGCACGCTTGGGCAGGCTGTCAGTAGCCCTGTTGAGCAAGAAGGCATGGTTGGTCCTGTTTCCTTGCCCCGGAGAGCAGAGACCTTTGGAGGATTTGACAGCCATCAGATGAACGCTTCAAAAGGTAGATGATTTAGGGGCCCCTGGCTGGCTTCATGTGTAGAGCATGCGACTCTTGATCTCAGGGCTATGAGTTCGAGCCCCACGTTGGGCCTGGGGCTTACTTTAAAAAAAAAAAAAAGTAGATGATTTAGAACCCATACTTACGTAGGCGACCCTTGACTGTCACACACAACCAAGAATGAGCTCATATTCTGGTAGCCACGTCTCCTCTGTCCCATTCAGTCAGTAGAAGTTTTAGCGAAAGCCCATTGAGTAGTTAGCTGCTAAAACACTCAAGAACCTCTGTCAGTGTCACGCTTATTTTGAGTAATAAAAAGCAATTTCCTAGGATCTCAGCTAAGCTGTGCCCAGAGAAGTAATAATACTCGTTTTTCCTTTCTGCTTCTAATTCTTCTGCGGCCATAAAATTCTTAATCACTGAGCTGCCCCCAGGTGGCTTCCCCCTTTCTGGCATTAATAAGATGCAGGAATACCATATCCCTAAACTATATATATTGTATTCTTTTCCTGGCTAATCTGTTCCACAACTTAAACAAAACAAAACAAAAAAAACCTTGTTTGTTTCAGGAGGTGAGAAGGAAGAGGGGGAGGATGGCCAAGATCTGAGGAGAACCGAATCCGATAGTGGTCTGAAAAAGGTACTTTTCTAAAACCTCTACATCCATAATCTTTGCAGTTAGTCCCCTTGGATCTTGTTTTGGATGCCTGACTTGCTGTCATTTCCTACTTTGAGAGGAAAGCACATTTTGAAACAAACCCTACAATTAGAGTCCCATGTTCCTGGCCGTTAGGCCTCTCGGGCTAGAACCCCCTGCTTACAGTCCTGGCTCCCCTGCCGCTGGGCATTAAGAGCTTTGGGTCAGTGACCCACACCAGCCTGGACTCTCTAGGGGCTTCCGCTAAGTCCAGCCTCAAACCTTCATTACCCTACAGCGGGAGGCTGTGGTGGGAAAGAACGAAAATGGGAAGCCCGAGCGTAATTGAGACACACATTAAATATTTTTGCCTCAGGATCTTCTTCCTTTTTTTTTTTTTTTAAATGCATGTTTTTTGTTTTATAGGGTGGAAATGCTAACGTGGTATTTATGCTTAAAAGAAACAGTGAGGTAAGGGCATTATGAGCTATGTATAAGAATAGGATTTTGTCATAATTGCTAGGCTAGGAATGCTCATCTGTGTTTTGCTGTTACGAACAAGCTGACTCCTGGCTTCCATCTGTACACTTAGTGGTGGGGTCGCCACTTTCCTTACCTTGCTCTTTCCCTGGCCCCCGGGGCATCATCCTGGAATTGTGCCAGACCGTGGCCTACTAACATGGCCTTGGCGTCTCTGTCCCCGAAAAGCAGGCCTCTTGCTTTCTGGGAACACGCGCTGCCACGCCTGCTTGCCTGGCACACGAGCCTGGCACCAAAAGCCACAAGTGTGGGCCGTGGCACCTCAACTTGTGGGCCACTCTGTGTGGTAATAGCCTATCCTGTGAGGACTCAGATTGCGTTTTCTTCTCTGAGCGCTGTGCGTCACTCAGAAAGCAGCCTTGGTGTCCCTCTCGTTGGAGAGCAGTCTCTGAGGGGTCTCCCTCCCCTGCCTCCGTTCAGTTCTGCTGACCCTGCCGGGGAGCTGTGCCTCACCTGCTCGCGTCCCTGCTCCTAGCTCCTGGCCGGCAACCCCTGTTGCCCAGGCCACCCCCCTCTCCAGACTCGTGTGGCTCGGAGCGCCCGCATGTGTGTGCTTAGATACAGGACGGTGGCTTTGTGGGGCGTCCCTCTCAGGATGCCATTGTGTTTCTTCTTGCTTTTAACGTAATATCTTAAGTCCCTGACGAGCTTTGTTTCAAAATTTTTAATTAAAGGGAACTGTCCCCTTTTGCCCCCTAAGACGCAGAAGGGTATTTTTCGTTGGTTGGCGTTGCGGTGTAAACACTGCATTCTGAGGGCAGCCCCCTCAGTGTGTTTGCCTCAAACGAAATAAAATTACTCTCACACAGACTGGTACTCTCTGTATCTCCTGCTTGAATGAAATTTCGCCCGTATTTTTCTGTTTGGTGACTTTTCGCCCATGTATTTTGTGACAAGGGTCAGGAAAGAAAGTACCAGACCAGGGCTTTTCAGGCATTCCAGCATGGATGACACACTGCAGATGCCCAGCCGCAGCCCACTGGTCTTCGGTGACCTCTCTCTGGTTATTAAGAATATTAATAGTCTTAATTAATATTAAGAATAAACTGAAAAGAGGAGTAAAAAGTGTGTTGTCAGAAGAGCTAAGCCTGATAATTGGGTTTTTTGTGTTCTAAGTACAGTTGAATAACATGGGTTTGAACTGCAAGGGTCTACTTAATATGCACGTTTTTTTCAATAAATATAGTGCAGTACTGTAAATGTGTTTTTCTTATCGTTTCTAGTAACATCTCTTTAGCCTACTTTTATAAGAATACAGCATATAGTACATGTAACATATAAAGATATGTGTTAATCGACTATGTTAATGGGTAAGACTTCAGGTCAACAGTAGGCTATTTGTAAAGTTTTTGGAGACTCAGAAATTATACATGGATTTTCTGCTGTGCAAGGGAGTTGGTACCCCAAGCCATACGTTGTTCACGGGTCACTTGTATTATAAAACGAATATGTGGTCATGGAAGAAAGTTTGAAAAATGTTCAAAAACAAAAACCAAAAAAATGAGTAAAATAATCCCACCACTGAGGAATAACTACTGTTAAATGTTGGGTGTTTATATTTCCACACAACATAGATTTATGTGTCTAAGTTTGCGTGAGTGTGAATAGTACAAAAATAGTTTTGTGTCATTTATATCCATGCCCCCTGGAGCTTCATGTCCTTTTTTCTCTTAACACATTCGAAGCATTTCCCCAAGGCCTTGTGTGCACAAGCATGCTCTTTAACAGGTGCACGTTGCTCTGTTGTGTGCCGTGGTTTAGTTCATTCTTCCTCTGCATCTTCGCATGGTATCTGATGCGGCAGGAACAGCCCAGTGCAGCGCTTCTGCGCTCTAGAAAGAACTGCGCACGGTGCGCGCCCCTTCCCTCCATACAAGGCCATTCTTGCTTTCACCAGCATTGGGAACGGTCTGTTTTTAACTGATGTTTTGTTGGTTTCATGAGTGCAAGTGGTATTTTATTTTTCATCTATTTGATTTCAAATAAAGGTGAATCATTTTTAATAGGTCATATAATTGGCCATTTATATTCTTCTTTTGCAAACTGCTGGTTTCTGTTGCCTTTTTGCTTCCTAGGGTATTCATTTCTCGTTGATCCACGGGAGCCTCTTTTTTTTTTTTTTTTAAGTGAAGGGGTTTTTCCTTTGGCTTTCTGTTCAAAGTGTCCCTGCATTTTATATTTTAATTTTACGTTTCACACAGTGACAGGTGAAAGTACATCTGTGGCTGCTTGCCTTGCTTCTTCAGAAAGCCTTCTTTGTTTCACGATCAGAAGAGACATTCTCATTTTCCACAATTCTCTTGTGGTTCTTTTTTTTTTTTTTTTACACTTAACATTTTAATCTGTTTGAATATGTTTTGGGTGAGCCAGGATCCCAACTTAATTTTTCCCAAAGACTTAGCCCATTTTCTCAGCAATTTGTTGAATATTCTTTCCTTCCCCATTGATTTAGGAACACTACTTATATGCTGAATTCCTGTGATTTGCTCTGTGCTTTTTCTGTTATGCACACCATTTTTGCACCAGTCATTTTAGAGAGTTGGAGCTTTATCATGCCTTTAATGGGTGCTGATGGCCCTCCTGCACAGTTGTTCCGTTTGCTTGATCTTGTTTTGTATCTCTTGGCCATCTGTACCTGCTTATTCTTTTTGGTGCTTTCAGTCTGGAAACATTCCATTCAGACGCAGGCCCCTTGCTGTGTGTGTGGTGGGACGGGACACGGTGTAGTGGGTTCCGAGACTCCGTCCTGAGGTGGTATTTCCATTGCTTCCTTTTGCAGCAGGTTGTCCAGAGTGTCGTTCATCTCCACGAACTCCTCAGCACGCTGCAGGTACGGGCCTTTGTCTTTCACCCCATCACTTAACTTGTTTTAAGAGAAACCATAAGGGTATTGTTGGCCTGGATCTTTAAGGTCTGTGAGCAGCTCGTGGGTAAAATGGGGCCCTCCGTCAAGACAAGACTGGCTGTCATGATGAGAAAGGGTACAAAATGCGGTGCTTAGAGTGTCATTGACCTCGTAATGTAGAATTGATGAATGATTGATGAATTGATGGTAGACTATATATAGGTGCTCTTGGTAGCCCTAGCGCAGAGCCCATGGCTAACAAGGTTTTGGGTGCTTTATTTAGCATGATTGTAAGTTTTCATATCTCCGTGTAGTGTGTGGATAGGGAGGTCCTCCCCCGAATAACTGCTATTTAGCACTTTCTGGGAATTATCCTTAAAGTCTGCGCACTTCCTTTCTCGAAGCTGTAAGAGATCCGATTCCTACTTCGTCCCCCCTCCAGAACACACACAGCCCCCACCCCGGGCAGTGTCAGCAGCGTGGGAGCAAGTGTGACAAGACTCTGGGTCCCCACGCAGTTGACATTCTGTGGGCTGAGTGCCCCCCGGGGGGCGGGCACTGACTCCAAGGTTATAGCGGAGCGCTCGGACCAGACCCGCCTAAAAGTGAGGGGTGTGCGCTGTCCCTGGGCGGGGCGGGCCGGACCGGCGGCACCTCCCTCCTCCGCGTGTGCCCCCCCCCGCAGGGCGTGGTGCTGCAGCAGGACAGCTACATCGAGGACCAGAAGCTGCTGCTGGCCGAGCGCGTCCTGGCGCGGAGCTCGTCGCGCCCCAGCTCCCTGGTGGAGCAGGAGAAGCAGCGCAGCCTGGAGAAGCAGCGCCAGGACCTGGCCAACCTGCAGAGGCAGCAGGCGCAGCACCAGGAGGAGAAGCGGCGGCGCGAGCGCGAGTGGGAGGCCCGCGAGAGGGCGCTGCAGGAGCGCGAGGCCCGGCTGGCGCAGCGCGAGCAGGACGTGCGGCGCGGCCGGCAGGACCTGGAGCGCGAGCGCGACGAGCTGCAGCACCGGAAGGGCGCCTACCAGTGCGACCTGGAGAGGCTGCGCGCCGCGCAGAAGCAGCTGGAGCGCGAGCAGGAGCAGCTGAGGCGCGACGCCGAGCGCCTCAGCCAGAGGCAGGCGGAGCACGACGCCTGTCAGGTGAGGGCGTCCGCGCCGAGCGTGCGGGCAACGGGAGCCCGAGCGCCCTGAGCGCCCTGAGCGCGGGGCGGGGGCGGGGGCGGCGGGCGGGGCCCCGAGCTTAGGTCCGGCGCTTCGTGGGCTTTCGGGAACACGGACGCCCGTGGCCGGCCGGCCCGCCGCTGGACACTGCCCCGTGTTGCCGTGTCTGACTGACCGACTGCCCCGTGTTGCCGTGTCTGACTGACTGACCGACTGCCCCGTGTTGCCGTGTCTGACTGACTGACCCGTGTTGCCGTGTCTGACTGACTGACCGACTGCCCCGTGTTGCCGTGTCTGACTGACTGACCGACTGCCCCGTGTTGCCGTGTCTGACTGACTGACCGACTGACCCGTGTTGCCGTGTCTGACTGACTGACCGACTGCCCCGTGTTGCCGTGTCTGACTGACTGACCGACTGACCCGTGTTGCCGTGTCTGACTGACCGACTGCCCCGTGTTGCCGTGTCTGACTGACTGACTGCCCCGTGTTGCCGTGTCTGACTGACTGACCGACTGACCCGTGTTGCCGTGTCTGACTGACTGACCCGTGTTGCCGTGTCTGACTGACTGACCGACTGCCCCGTGTTGCCGTGTCTGACTGACTGACCGACTGACCCGTGTTGCCGTGTCTGACTGACTGCCCCGTGTTGCCGTGTCTGACTGACTGACTGCCCCGTGTTGCCGTGTCTGACTGACCGACTGCCCCGTGTTGCCGTGTCTGACTGACTGACTGCCCCGTGTTGCCGTGTCTGACTGACTGACCGACTGACCCGTGTTGCCGTGTCTGACTGACTGACTGACCCGTGTTGCCGTGTCTGACTGACTGACCGACTGCCCCGTGTTGCCGTGTCTGACTGACTGACTGCCCCGTGTTGCCGTGTCTGACTGACTGACCGACTGACCCGTGTTGCCGTGTCTGACTGACTGACCCGTGTTGCCGTGTCTGACTGACTGACCCGTGTTGCCGTGTCTGACTGACTGACCGACTGCCCCGTGTTGCCGTGTCTGACTGACTGACTGCCCCGTGTTGCCGTGTCTGACTGACTGACCGACTGCCCCGTGTTGCCGTGTCTGACTGACTGACCGACTGCCCCGTGTTGCCGTGTCTGACTGACTGACTGACTGCCCCGTGTTGCCGTGTCTGACTGACTGACCGACTGCCCCGTGTTGCCGTGTCTGACTGACTGACTGACCCGTGTTGCCGTGTCTGACTGACTGACCGACTGCCCCGTGTTGCCGTGTCTGACTGACTGACTGCCCCGTGTTGCCGTGTCTGACTGACTGACCGACTGCCCCGTGTTGCCGTGTCTGACTGACTGACTGCCCCGTGTTGCCGTGTCTGACTGACTGACCGACTGACCCGTGTTGCCGTGTCTGACTGACTGACCCGTGTTGCCGTGTCTGACTGACTGACCGACTGCCCCGTGTTGCCGTGTCTGACTGACTGACTGCCCCGTGTTGCCGTGTCTGACTGACTGACCGACTGCCCCGTGTTGCCGTGTCTGACTGACTGACCGACTGACCCGTGTTGCCGTGTCTGACTGACTGACTGACCCGTGTTGCCGTGTCTGACTGACCGACTGCCCCGTGTTGCCGTGTCTGACTGACTGACCGACTGCCCCGTGTTGCCGTGTCTGACTGACTGACCGACTGCCCCGTGTTGCCGTGTCTGACTGACTGACCGACTGCCCCGTGTTGCCGTGTCTGACTGACCGACTGCCCCGTGTTGCCGTGTCTGACTGACTGACCGACTGACCCGTGTTGCTGTGTCTGACTGACCGACCGACTGCCCCGTGTTGCCGTGTCTGACCGACCGACCGACCGACCTGGGACCCGGAGAGGAGACTCAAGTAGCGCCTTCCAGGGGGCGGTTCCGCTGTAAGGTGGGAGCGGGGGCTCCAGCCGCGCGCCAGTAACCCAGCGGTGCTCCGGCCGAAGCAGCCCCCACGCCTGCCCCGGGCGATCGGACGCCGCTCCTCCCTGTCTGGCTTCACCTCCGACTCCCCAGACCCTGTGCGCCGACAGGCTCCGTAACCCCTCAGCCCGAATGGTTCTGCACAGCCCTGTGAACCCGTGTTCACATAAGCGGCGCTCGCGTTCCCAAGGGAGTGGGAGTGCGTCCCCGAGCGGCCTCATCGAAGGCACTGCCAAGCCCTCGTGCTGCTGACGTCGCGCACGTGCAGTAAAGATAGGAGTGGTGCCCAAGGTGGCATTTGTAGCGCCTTCCCAGGTACCGGGGGGAGGGCTGGTCAGAAGTCCTGAATCCTCGGGTGCGAGGGCCGCGGCGTCCAGGCGGCGGGGCGCACGGGCTGACGGCCCCCACTGTCGGCCTCAGCACGTAGCAGGCCCTGGGGTGCCGCCGGCCCCTGCCTTAGAGCCGATGTTTTGACCGTGCGCAGGTGACACATCAGCACGCCAGGCTGCTGAGGGTCCCATCCTTCCTTCCGAATCCTGAGGAGTCCCCCCCGCCATCCGCACCTTCCGTCGCCAAATCAGGATCCCTGGACTCGGAACTCTCGGTGTCCCCAAAAAGGAACAGCCTCTCTCGGACACACAAAGATAAGGGGCCTTTTCACATACTGAGTCCCGCCGGCCAGACCAACAAAGTGCCAGAGGGTCAGAGCCAGACCCCCGTGCCCGCCTCCGCCTCCACCCGCCTGTTTGGGTTGGCTAAGCCAAAGGACAAGAAGGAGAAGAAGAAGAACAAAAAAGGCAGCCGCTCTCAGCCTGGTGGTGAGTGACACACACCAGGCCTCCCTACGGCCATGTTGCTCCTGGATCCTGAAGGGTGGGCAGGCTTAAACCGAGGGTGCCATTCGACTGTGTCAGAGCCGCGCCACCGTCCCCCAGGCCCACTTGCTCGGCCTCCGGAGGGCTGCCTGGACTCCCACTAAGAACACGGACCCCCCGGGCAGTCAGACCCCCTCTGTGTGCACGCGGCTGCCAAGGAGGGCGCGCAGGTCTGCGTGTGGGGGCGTCTGTTGTTACCCAGCTGAGGGCCTGAAACCCACCTCAGTGACGACTAAAGTCTTCCCTGCTTTTCTGTAGGTCTAGTCAGTCATCAGTATAACTAGTACTTGGTGAGCGTTTCCCAAGGTCTGATGAAGCCCGCAAGTGGCTGTGTGAAGTAGGTGATGCCAAGCTCGTGATTAAACCCCACTAACCGAGGCTCCCAGCTTATGCAGCCCTTTCCCCTGAGTCCTCTCTCTGTTCCTTCTCCTTAGGATTGCTCCCTCTCATCTCTGTGGGAGGGCAAAGAGAAGTTTCTGTCTCTGGGCCTGTTTGTGAACAGGAGGTCCAGTGCTTTGTCAAGTTAAAGGGACCAGGGGACAGCAAAGAGGGTCAGAGGACCTCATCTACTAAACCATTCAGGGAGCCCCAGTGGGGGGGGGGGGTGGACTGCCCACCTGGCCAGCAGCTGTTGCATCCCAGAAGACTCGGATTGAGGAGGAAGGGAAGAGAAGGGAGTTCAATGAAGAGAGCAGGTTTTTTTTGAAGTTCTTTCTCCTTGGTTTCCCCTTTCCCAGATGGCCCCCCGTCAGAAGTGCCCGCGGAGGGTGAAGAGATCTTCTGCTGACCCTGCCCTCTGCCATGACCACTGCCTCCTGTCCAGCCCCGCCTCTCCTGCTGTTCCTGGGTGTGGTCTCTTACCTTGGACACCCGAGCTGCCCCAGGTCCTGGACCAGAGGGACAAATGGTCTCGAATGTCAGGGTGGGGCAGGAGACCCGGGATTGGCGGCTGCCGAGGGCTCCTGGCTCGGGGCGGCCCTACTGAGGATGTTACACTGAAAGTAGGTGGCCCCAGAAGTCAGGCGATGGTTTTGGACATGTCAGGAATCTCTAAAGGCTGAGAGAAGTTTCTAAATAAGGTCTGAAATTCTACCTGCCTTTTATTTGAGGGACACAAGCAACAGTCAAACAGCAGATAGTTTGGATTTGGTCTGTGTACATAGTTACCTGTCTGCATATACACGTGCGTGCCAGAATTAGGCGCCGTCTGTAGCAGGGGCCTGGTCGGCTTGGCGCAGGAGGTGCCACTCGGCCCTGCTCCGGGAGCACGCGGGCGCTCGGCGCGTCCCCCCCTCCCTTGTCCTCCAAGGCGGTTTTCCTGTCACCCTATCCCGTGCACACCTCCCCTCTTTCTGCATGTATTTCTCATTTCATTTTAGAAGGGCTGGCAAGCATTTGTGAAAACCAGTGAGAGAAGGCATGATGTGTTCAAAAAACATATATACACACACACACAAACGTGTGTGTGTATATACATATCTGTACCATCTTGATTTTGATGTTCGTCATTAAAAAAAAAAAAACACCTAATTTTAACATGAAATCCAAAGAAATCATAGACTGCCTTTCCAAGATGTTTGCCCACATACTCTGGGCACAGATGCAGTCTCCTCGTCCTTACTCCTGCATTGTGCCACTTTCTGGTTGTCACTGACCCCCGGCCTCCTGGCACCATCCCAGGGGAAGCCGCTGCTTCACAGCAAGGTTGTCCCCACCCCTGCACTAGGACAGGGCCCCCGGCCCCTCTGTCAGTTTTACACCGGGAAAGCCCGAGAGGGAGCTGGCCCAGGTGTGGCTGGGAAACTTGCTCATTCGGTATCAGGAGGCTAGGGCAGAATTTGATTTCTTAACCCATTTTCCAAATCTAAAGGTCTCTTGGTTATTGTACCCCACCCCCTTGAAGGTGCCAGATGTGGCCTGCTTTCTCTGCACTTTCCCGCACTCTTGGTGATCTGTTTTGCTTGAGGCTCGTGAGCAGCTGCTGGGAGCAGGATGGTTCGTGGAGTTCTCTGAGGCCCCCTCTCCTTGCTGGACTCACTACTCCCTGTGAGGGGAGACCCTGGAGAAGTCTGTGCTTTCGGTGTGCCCTTCATTCCTGCTTCTCACCCATCAGGAGCGTGGGTCTTTGAACATACTTTTTAGAAAAACGAAATCTGTAACTTGGTGCTTGTTGATGAATTGCAAGCTGGCCTTGCAGATGGAGATATTTATCTTTCAGTTTATTTGAAAGAGGTCTGGTTTAAAATTTTTAGCTTAGATTTGTTTATTTATTTGTGTGTGTGTGTGTGTGTGTGTGTGTTTTAAGCCCTACGGTTTCAACTGTCTGATCCTTGCAGAACGTGACCAGCCACAGCACTGCTCCCTCCTCAGTGTCTGTCAAAGTGCGTGAGGGCCCAAAGGAAAATGAAAGGGGGATCCATTCCCTTCTTCCCCTCCCCCTACCTCCTTCTTCCATCAAGGAATGTCTTCCTTGTGTGAGAGTTGAGAAACTTGCCACCTGTGAGTTACGCTCACCTGTTTGTCACGGAGATTTCTTAGCCTTCAGAAACACTTTAAGAACAAGACCAGCTAAGCTAATCATCTTTTGAACCTTGGTGTAAACCACCCCACCCCCCCCCCGCCCCGAACCCTAAACAGGGAAAAGCACGGTTACTTCCTCGCTCGGGCCACACAGCCACATCTGCGCTGGTTTTCCTCAGATGTGCGTGGGGCCCGGCTGTCTGTTCTTGTCACCAACTTGAGCTCCCCTCTGGGCTCGCCGTCCCACAAGACGTGGGCTGCTGGAGGGAATGGCACCGGGGAAGGAAGCCCCCATCCTCCTTCCTTGGTGTCGTCATTAAAAAAACGTAGGCCAGGCCACCCTGTCCCTGGGTGCCTGCACCAGGAAGTGCGGGGTGCTGACGAGCTGGCCCTCTTCTCTCCAACAAAACACTGTGGACCCCGAGTTTCTGTCCATGGCCGCCCAGCCTGATGGCAATTTGAAAGTGTCTCTTACTCCCAACTAGCTCTAAGGTTGAAGTTGCTTTGGTGGTGGTGTTTAAATGGAGGCTGCACCGGCACCCACCCCCAGTCACTTAGCTTGGGCAGGTTCTGGTTGGACAAGTGTAGAATCAGACTTGGAAAGTAGCCTCCTGCCTCCACCCCACTGCCCACCGTCATCCAAAGTCGAGTCTGCAGTGCAGAGAGACAACTGCTTGGTAAGAGCCGCGCTTTGACATGTCTTCCTTCCCCTCCCCCCACTCCCCCGGAAACTGATCGCCGGGGACTTCTTTGTCATGCTTGGAGAACTACCTGGGTTGTTGCTGCTTGTGCTTGTGACCTTGAGAACCGCTCTGGTTCCAGAGGCAGTTCCCTGTTGTGTCCTCCAGCAAGCTCAAGAAGGCAGATGCCGGGCGTTGTGGTTAAGTTTTGGGGGGACAGATAGAGACACCAGCCAGAGTCCCCAGATTTCCAGAGTCTAGTGAAGTTCCTGGAAGGAGGCTCAAAAATTCTCTCAAAAATGCCATCATCTCAGAAGTTGTCATCCCAGTTGGGTGACGTGCACTTTAAATGCTCTCATCTGTCGGCTTCATTTTTGAGACAATCAGCTATGTGAACTGTTTTCTTCTTTGAAAACGGAGAGGGTTAAAAACATGCAAATTGCCATAATTCAGCCTTTGCCAACATTCCATTCTCTACCCCCACGAGAGCGATCTGTGGGGAAAAAATCCTTATCAAGATTTTTTTATTTTTTTGAAAAGGTACGAATCTTACCTTTCTCCCTCTTATGTCTCAGGGTAGCACCACTAAAGTTGTCTCTTTGAGAATAGTTCTCCCTTATTCTAGTCCCGAGCCCCTAGTAGCAGTAAGCACAAATTTTCAAGACCCTTGGGGTTTGTTGTCCCTTTCCTAGGAGGGGGGCAGGTATGGGGGTGCAGGGTTTGATAAAGTAAGCTCCGCCTTAAGTGAAGGGCAGAACCATACCTTAGAGGCCAGGACTTGATCCAGAAGTTGCTGTTCACAGAAGTACTGATATTTCATTGCTTGGTCTCTCAGTGGCTTTTCCATGGCCAGTTCTTTCTTCCCAAGGATTTTGGTATTTGTCCGGGAGGGCGTGGGGAGGTTGCAGTCCACTCCAGTGTTGACTGGTTGTGCCCAGGCCAGCCGAGCCCTGGGAGGAACGGAGACACTGTTCGGGTGAGTGGGCCTCGGTGGCTGTCCACAGGGTGGCTTGAGGGGACGCCAGACTCTGCCAGAGGGGATCGACCCCCCGCCCCCCAGGCTTGGACGCCCTTGGACTGTGGAAGCCCGGAACCAGCCCTGTAGGTTAGACAGCATGTGCGCCCTGCCCGCCCGCCTTCCGTCCAGACACAAGCATGCCGGTGGTGCTGGGCCCCGCTCCCTGACACGCAGAGACAGAGGGAAGGGCAGAGAGTTTGTTGTGGTTTGTGTCTTCATTTGTCTTCCAGTGTAGCCTGACATTCCTAGTTACCCAGAGCTTTGGAATCTGCTTGCTGGCCAGGTTTCGAAGTGAAAAGTATTTTAATGCTGCCATAAAAGTAAAAGCAAAAAGGAAGGGAAAAACAAAGGCTTCTGTCCTTGTACCCCTCTAATTTAATTTGTCAAAAGATCGACAGGCCTTGAATTAACTCTCCATCTCGCTAAGGTTGAAAGCCGGGCAAACCCAGCTGGCGAATGCCCTCTGGCCCCAGACCACGAGCCCGGCCTGTGCTGGGGGCTCCTCGCTGCCTCGAAGCAGAGCGCGCTGCCTCTTCACCCCAGATACTCACCCACCTTGAGCTCTCCTGCAGCCACCCGCCTGGGGCCCGCCCGGTCAGCTTGCCCACAGTCACGGTTCAGCCTGTGGTTTCTGTGTTCCTTGCCCGCTGGGGGCACGGGGAGACGCCCGGACCTGCAGGAGGGCGATTACCGTACACCTTATACCTCTGCTTTTGTGGTTTTCAAATACTAGACGAACATTTCTGTGCTAGATTCTTTTAAATAAAAAGGGGTTAAAACCCAGATGCTGTATATTAATTTGTAATTATGTATAAAGTAAAGCAGTTTTAAACTGTAAAAAAATTTTTTCAGTGTGTTTTCTGGGATTTTGCCACAACATACTGGCTTTGTATTTTATTTATCTTCCTTTTTAGTTACTGGCTTCAGACTCTACTTGTAAAGTCCCCTCCACCCTTTCAAAAAATAAATGTCCTTTAAGTCTCGATTGTTGCCGTGTTGTATTCTATCCCCATGGGCTTCCTGGAGGGCATCCCAAGATACTCTGGGCTCCTGGTAAAGGGGTATCCCCCCACTCCAAGAAGAGCCCTTTCCCCAAAGAGAACTTCTGTTTCTAATGTACCTCTGGGAACAGGAGTCAGGAAGAGTCTGTAAGCGCTCAGTGGCTCCTCGGAGACATTTTCCTGGGGCCCAGATGCAAAACCGGGGGGTGACTGGCCAGCCCTGAAGTCATGGGATTTGTGCCTGGAATCAAAACTATTTTCAGGCAGATCAGTGCAGTAAAATCATCCTTTGCTAAAGATTCTACTCTGTAAAAAGAATTGATGTTAGTTTGCCTTCCTTTGACAACTTTCTCCGCCCATATGACCCCCCCCACCCACCCAGGAAGAGGACTTTGGGGGACACTGGTGGAATAGGAGGACCCTAAGCTCACCTCGTCCCACAGACACGACTAGGTAACACATCAGTGCAAACAAGCCAAAGACTGACTCCACAACTAAATGTAGAAATGAGGCCTTATCAAAGAGGGGAGGAAAGGGAGAGACACTGTGGGGAGCTAAACAGATCACAGCCCTCCATGGGAGGGAGCGAACAGGGCCCAGAAGAGGAGAGAAAAACAGATCATCACACTGGGGAGCCTGCACGGGCAGGACGAATCCCCATTACATTTTGCTTTGAAAACCAGAAGGGCTGAATTTCACAAGTTCTTAGAACCAGTGGGACTTAAAACCTGGAACCTTAAAAATCAGCTGGCTTGGCTCTGGGAGTCTGGATGGCAATGGAAACCTGAGTCCCCACCCTTAAAGAGACAGCACGACAAACAGCCCAGGGAGACACGGTATAGAAACAGCAGTTTGAAAACCACCTGGGACATACAGGAGGGAGAGTTATTTACTAACCTCAGAGCACTAACCTCAGAGTTATTTACTAACCTTCCCTGCAGGAAGGGGCAGAGATCATCGGGAGACTCCTCCAGGACCTGGCAGATGCCATTTCCCTCCTCTGCCCCAGCATCAACACACAGCCACCTGCAGGAACCAGAGAGCTGATCTTCACTACCCAACTTGCTAACACCTCACCCCACTCCCTGCCCTTTGGCAGATCCACCCCCTCCAGCCAGGCCTGCCTCAGTCCTGGCGCTGCAGGTCCCCTCCCCCAGAAGGCTGCGAGAACCTTGCCAACACCTCATGTCCTATCGCCATGCACTTTGCGGATCCGTCCCTTCCAACCTGGCCAGCCTTGGTCCCCGTGGCTGCAGGCCCCCGCCCACAGAGGACTGGCATGCGAACCTTGCTAACACTGCACATCCTGCCCAGCACACTTTGTAGATCCACGCCCGCCAATACACTCTTGGCAGGAGCCCACCCACAGCAGAGCCACAAGCCACAGTGTGCAGGCAGCCCTGACCTGAGCCAGCACCGCTTCAAAGAGACTCCTGCCCCAGGGAGCGGGAAAGACAACCATACACACCAGTCAGACCGCAGCCCCAGCAGTGGGCTGGGGACAGACATCTGGTCTGACTACAGGCCCCGCCCAACAACAAAACCTTCTCAGGGACAACACAGGGAAAGTGCCCTGTAGTTTGGTGATACCACAGCTCTGGCAAACGTCTGGTCTGACTCAGCCCAAGCCCAAGGCAGCCCTGGAGCAGCCCACTAACAGTACAGGGACCAAACTGTGCCCACACCAGGGCAAAGAGGGCCACTGCAGGTGATTGAACAAAACAGGCTGCATGCAACACACACAGAGATCCCCCCCACCTCAGGGGGTGCCTGGGGGCTTAGGCAATTGAGCATCTGTCTTGATTTCGGCTCAGGTCCTGATCTTGGGGTCATGAGACTGAGCCCTGCATCTGGCTCCATGCTTAGCGCTGAGTATGCCTGAGACTCTATCTCTCCCTCTCCTGCCCCTCCCCCCATTTGTGCTAAATAAATAAATTAAAAAATAATTTTTAAAAAAAAAAGGAGACACCCTTGAAGCGCCCAGGTTCTGCACTGCAGGGCACTACAGGACCTCTTCTTCCACTACTTGCAAGAGTAGGAGACATAGGTTACTTTCCTAACACAGACACAAAGTTAGACAAAATGAGGGGACAGAGGAATATATCCCAGGTGAAAGAAAAGGACAAAATCACATCAAGAAACCTAAGTGAAATGGAGGTAGGTAATATGCCTAACAATTTCAAGTAATGATCATGAAGATTCTCACTGGACTTGAGAGTGGAGGACCCTTAGCAAAGAGATAGAAAACATAAAAGAGAACCAGAGATGAAGAACTCAAAAAATGAAATTAAAACTACATTAGGTGGAATAAATAGACTCAGAGGAAGCAGAACAGATCAGTGACACTTAGAGGACAGAGTAGTGGAAGGCAATCAAGCTGAGCAGGTGAGAGAAAAAAAACAAAATGAAAATTGACTTATGGAACTCAGTGATAGTATCAAGCATACTAACATTCACATTCTAGGGATCTCAGAAGGAGAAGACAGAAAAGGGGGCAGAAAATTGACTTAAAGAAATAATAACTGAAAACTTTCCAAATCTGGGGAAGGAAACAGAAATCCAGATCCAGGAGGCACAACAAAATCAACCAAAGGAGGTCCACACAAAAACATAGTAATTAAAATGGCAAAAAGTAGTGATAAAGACAGAATTTTAAAAGCAACCAAAGAAAACAGTTATATACAATGGAAACCCCATTAGGCTATCAGCTGATTTTTCAGCAGAAACACTGAAAAAGACCAGAAAGTAGTGGAATGAAATATTCAAACTGCTGAAGGAAAACAACCTGCAGCCAAGAATATTCTATCCAGCAAGGCTATCATCTGAATTGAAGGAAACAGTTTGCATTTCTCAGACAAAAACTAAAGTAGTTCATGACCACTAAACCAGTCCTACAAAAAATACTAAAGAGGGCTCTTTGAGTGGAAAGGAAAGACCATAAGTAGGAGTAAGAAAAATAGGAAGCACAAAAGCAGTAAGAAGAAATATATCTGTAAAAATCAGTCAAGGGACTCACAAAATAAAAAGATGCCAAGTATGATACCATAGACCTAAAACATGGGGAGGAGAGAAGTAAAGAATGGGTTCAAACTTAAGTGACCATCAACATAATACAGACTGCTACATGCAAAAGATACAAAGCTAATGGTAACCAGGAATCAAAAACCACCAATAAATAGATTGCAAAGAATAAAGAGAAAGGAATCCAAGCGTATCATGAAACAAAATCAGCAAACCATGAGAGAGCAAGAGAAGGCAGGATCAGAGATAAAATACAAAAACAACCACAAAATAAGTAACAAAATGGCAATAAATACAAATCAAGAAGTCCTTTGACTATAAATGGGCTAAATGCTCCAAAAGACATAGGATGACAGTATAGATAAAAAAAAAAAAAAACAACAAAACAAGACCCATCTATATGCTGCCTACAAGAGACTCCTTTCAGACCTAAAGACACCAGCAGATTGAAAGTGAGGGGATGGAGAAACATTTCTCAAGCAAATGGATGTCAAAAGAAAGACAGAGTAGCAATACTTATATTGGACAAAATAGACTTTAAAACAAAGACTGTAACAAGAGACAAAAGACATTATAATAAGGGGGACAATCCAACAAGAGGATATAACAATTGTAAATATTTATTCACACAACATGGGAGCACTCAAATGCATGAAACCATTAATAACAAACATAAATGGAATAATAGACAATATTACAATAATAGGGGACTTCAACACCCCATTTACATCAATGGACAGATCATCCAAACAAAATAAGGAAACCATGGCTTTGAATAACACACTGGACAACAATGGATTTAACAGATATATTCAGAACATTCCATACTAAAACAGCCAAATACACATTCTTTTCAAGTGCACATGGAATGTTCTCCAGAATAGTTCACATATTAGGCTACAGAACAAGCCTCAACAAATTCAAAGAGATCAAAGTCATACCATACATCTTTTCTGACCACAATGCTATGAAACTAGAAATCAGCCACACACAGACACACAGAATCTGGAAAGACCACAAATACAAGGAGGTTAAATAACATGCTACTAAACATTGCATGGGTCAACCAACAAATCGAAGAGGAAGAAATCAAAACATACATGGAGACAGATGAAAATGAAAACAACACTCCAAAACCTCTGGGATGCAGCAAAAGCAGTTCCAAGAGGAAAGTTTATAGCAATACAGGCCTGCCTCAAGATGCAAGGAAAATCTCAAACAACCTAACCTTACACTTAAAGGAGATAGAAAAAGACCGACAAATAAAACCCCAAACCAGAAGAAAGGAAATAATAAAAGATTGGCAGAAATAATAGAAACTAAAAAAAAACAAAAACAATAGAATAGATCAATGTAACCAGGAGCTGTTCTTTGAAAAGATCAACAAAAGTGATAAACCTCTAGCCAGTATCATTAGAGAGAGACAGAGAAAGGACTCAAACAAAACCACAAATTAAAGTAACAACATCACAGAAATAGAAACAACTTAAGAGAATATTATGAAAAGCTATATGCCAACAAATTGGACAACCTAGGGGGAAAAAATGCATAAATTCCTAGAAACATATAATTTCCCAAAACTGAATCAGGGAGAATTAGAAAATTTGAACAGCCGATTACCAGCAATGAAGTTGAATCACTAATCAAAAAACTCCCAAGGGGGGCACCTGGGTGGCTCAGTCAGTTGAGCATCCCACTCCTGATTTTGGCTCAGGGCATGATCTCAGTGTTGTAGGATCAAGCCCCGCATCAGGCTCCACACTCAGCGTGGAGTCTGCTTGAAATGCTGTCTCTCTTTTTCCCTCTGCCCCTCCCCCTGCTCATGTTCTCTCTTGCTCTCTCTCAATAAATAAATAAAATATTTTTAAAAAACCAAAAAACTCCCAACAAACAAAAGTCCAGGACCAGATATCTTCACAGGGGAATTCCACCAAACATTTAAAGAAGAGTTAATACCTATT